CTGGTTCACTTTCAAAGTTTTATTAACTCACTTAAAAATAGTAAGTCCATTACATGTTAGTACACATAACCATCCATGACAAATATAACTAAGTTTTCTAAAACACGCCATTTTAGCGAGGAGAGTGGCGTGGTTTTGCATGTCTGTCTAATGCCTGGATTCTCACGTCTGCTTCTGCAATGTCTTGTGATATGTGTCGTGTAGGCTCTGAAAAACTCCACAGTATACTCGTAAGCAGGTGAGAGTGGAAAAGGCAAATACCATCTTAGTATGAATCAAGTTTTAATTTCACTGAGTCTGACAGGGTCTCGGGGAGCTCCAGGGTCCCCAGACTGCACTTTGAGAATCACTGATCTAATCTAAAAGATGAGAGGACTAAAATCCTACTGAAGGATTTGGTGGGAATGGATTGGGGTGGGGGATGAGTTATAGTGAGAGACCCCAAATTTGGCCCATACTCCTCATAAAGCAAGCTGGAGAGTGGTAAACTATGTATTATTTCTGATATTCCTTCTCTTTAAATTCTATGTGTGGCTTCACTATAATTCAATAGACACTCAAGTGCTTACCACGTATTAGGCCCCAAAGGATACTAGGATGGTCCCTATGATCAAGGTACTTAACATCCACTTGATTTTGTGGGCTACCTAAGGCCATTGCCAAGTCTTGTAGTGTGGCATCAGGCATGCAGGTATGGGACAAAGAGCCAATTTCCAGTTCCATCAAAGGGAGACCAGGTGCAATTTCCTATATTCCATCCCTCTTGTGCCTGCATGTTGGATGGTGCCCTATCTTGGTCCCTCATTTAAAGTTCCTGACATTCACTTTACCTGCCCTCTCTAAATTCCCATTTACACCCATTTCTACCTTCTTACATGATTGCAACATGTGCTTCCTCCTTGCTACTTATCTCAGCAACTTTAGAATCCACTGCTGAGAAGCCTGAGACCTGGATTTCATAGGTCCCTCCAGGCCTCTGCTGTGCTAACCCTCATCTCTCCCACTGCTACCCTCGAGGCACTGCTGGTTCTGTGACCAAGGCCTCTTCTTTACCTGCAGCCTCCCCACTGGTGACACTGTGCTTCTGGACTCTTTGCCAGCTAAGCTCTTTCAAGTGCCCCTCGCCCATCTTCAGACCTTACCATTCGCTGGCTGCTAATCCTTCACCTGTGCTGTCCTGATAAATACTTCATTCAACACCACTGTTTTCACTACCCATTCTTTTGCTAGGTGTGTGTGTGTGTGTGTGTGTGTGTTTTGTTTTGTTTTTAATGCTGCTTTGGTTGATACTGTTTGCATATTGCCTTCTGCATCTGTCTCTTCCTGTTGTTACCTCACACCTGGGGTTCAGCAATAACCTCCTTTAAAGTTCTGCAGCTGAAATCCATCTTGCATGCTTGTACCAGATTACTTTCCTAAAATAGCATTTTGATATTGCTCCTGTGCTCAAAATGCCTCCCCAGTGTAGTTTCTAACGTACAAACAGGTGGTGGTGCAAAGCTCATCTGTAAGTTGGCTGTTCAGAACAGTGGAACAAAGTTTCCCATCAGTAGTACATACTGAATCTTACCTCAGGTCATGCAAGTTTATATATATAATGTCTACCTACCTATCAAAACATAGCTTCAATAATTGTAGTTTAAATAAATGTAAAATAGTGTTTCTACAGGAAATGTACTCAGAGCTTCACTTTGGGGACGTCAGGCACATATCCTGGCCTAGAGGGAATTCCCCCTCAAAGACAAAATTGATGATTCTCATAGGCTGTGACACTGGCTGTTTAAATACACCTGTCATTCAAAGCTCTCTAAATTCCATCAGGAAACATTTATGATGAAATCTCTTCCCCTATCATTCTGAAAGTGATAGTGCTCCTCCTCTGAAGTCTAGACTGCTATTTTATCTATTGCATTATCTTGTATTTTGAATTCCTCATGAGTGTATCTTATTCTGATGAGACTGTAAGCTCCTGGAGGGAAAAGGCTCTATTCTGTCTGTGGCACATAATAAACAAACAACACTCATTAAATAATTAGTTATTAAATAAATGAATTAACGCCTATTGCTTTCAAGAAGACACATGCAGGCAAGTCAGGAATCTGGTCTTCATAATGGCCAGTTCTGCTCTACTTCTCAAAAGTATCCTGCAGCCCTGATGTCGGAGGCTGCCTTGGAAATGTGTGCTAGCGTCTACAATAGGAAATGGCCAAGAGTGTGCATGAGTCAGTGTACAATGCCCTTGATTAACAGCACTAGTTACTGTTTTTTTTTTTGTTTTATCCTCACCCAAGGATATTTTTTCATTTTTTGTACAGATAGAGTGGGAGGGAGAGAGGAAGGGAGAGAGAGAGAGAGAAACATCGACGTGAAGGACACATCGAGTGGCTGCCACCCGCACGACCAACCAGGGCCGGGGACAAACTGCAACCGAGGTACATGCCCTTAGCGGGAACCGAACCCGGGTCTCTCCGGACCGCAGGCCGACGCTCTAACCGCTGAGCTAAACTGGCCAGGGCCAGCACTAGTTACTGTTAACCACATGCACACAGGCAGAACTTGGGGACAGTGCAGGTTCAGTTCCAGACCACCACAATAAAGCCAGTTGCACAAATTTCTTGGTTTCCTAGTTTTACGTAAATGTTTGCATTACACTGTAGTCTGTTAAGAGTGCAATAAGCATATGTCTAGAAAATATAGTACGTTATTACTAAAAAATGCTAACAATCATCTGAGCCTTCATCTGAGCCTTTTGCTGGTGGAGGATCTTGTCTTCAATTTGTAAAAAACACAACCTCTGTGAAACTCGGTAAAAAAAAGTATGCCTATATGTGGTGGGTTATTTACAAACAGTTCTAATCCTCATAACTATCCTGTGTAGAACCTAGGGTTCTGAGACATTGTGATGTGACTTATCCAAAAGCTCAAAGCTTTTAAGGGGTGGAGTCAGGATTTCAAAGCTAGCATTTGAACCCAAGTCTCTCTGACTCCAGAGCAGACTGAGAAGATGGTCTGGTGATTGCCTGCCTCACTGGCTGTTCAGGGTTGAGTGTGCTTGCCTGTGGCTGCACTGAGGCTTCCTTCTTCCCTGATGCTTCCTAAATAGAATGGCTGGATCAAAGGGGAGCCCACTAACTTTTCCCAGACCAAGAAGGACCGTTTCTCAATGGTCATCTGAGCAGCTCCTCTCCCAGGTAGTACCTTCAGATTCCAAGCCCCTGTTCTTTTGACATCATACTGGTTCTCAGCTCCTGGAAAAACAACTCAAAGCTTGAGTCAGACATACCATGTGCTGTTCAAGGATCTTCCATGCAACATTGTTATAACAAAAAATTATAAACAGGGTGGTTAAATTATAGTACAACCATATGGAGTACCATAAAGCATCTGTTCAATAACTATATTGTTAGCAGCTGTTCAATAATAAAATGTCGAAGTATATTGTTAAAGAGAAAAGGCAATGTACGTACATGTGTTTACATAGGCACAGAAAACTCACTGAGGGACATTTATATATCTGTTAAGTATTTTAAGGTATCCAAGAAACATTAAGAGGTTATCTGTGAGGAGTGGGTCTGAAGGAAAAGTAGTAACTTGTACTATTTGGTAAACTTCTATACATTTTTTAAAAAACCATGAGCATTACTTAAAAAATTTATTTTTATTGATTGGAGAGAAATATTGATTTGTAGCTCCACTCATCCATGATCATTACTTTTTTATAGTCAAGATTTAAACATTTTTTTTATTGATTTGAGAGAGAGAGAAACATGGATGAGAGAGAACATCGAATGGCCACACCTGCATGGCCCCCACTGGAGATTGGGCCCACAACCTGGGCATGTGCCCTGACTGGGAATCGAACCGGGGACCTCTTGGTGCATGGGCAGATGCTCAACCACTGAGCCGCATCAGCCAGACAACAGTCACGATTTTTTTTTTAAAGGAAATGAAGTGTCCTACAGGTACATGTCCTACAGGTACACGACTGGAAAGGGACAGGGCTATACAGAACCTACAAACCTCTGCAATTTTATGAGGATGGCAACATTTTTAAGGAAGGTGGGAACTTACTCTAAAACTGGAAGAAAACGGGCTGATGACAAAGCGAGTAACACAAGTTCTGACGATCCAGGTCTTCCTAATCAGACTAAGCTGTGTGTGTATCTGTCGGTGGTGTGAAACTGAAGACCAGGGAGCTGCTACCTTGGGTCTCCGAGTTGCATTTTACACACTGGGTCCTTCACCTTCCAGGCTCAGCGTCAACTTGGACGGTGCTCTGAATCTAACCACTCACCCCATTTTACCAAGACCGCAACTCAAGCTCCAAGAGTGTTACAGGGCTGGGAAGTGATTTCGACCCAATGCTGACCTCAAAGGCCACACTCCTCACCCGATTAAGCTCAGGCAGGCGACTCCCCACCAAAAACCTCAGCAGCCACCAACCGCTTCGGCGTCCAGTCCACAGGCTCTGGACAAGGCGTGGGGCCGGAGCCAGCGCCCCGGGGGCGGTGTCCATGCAGGAAGGGGGCGGGGCGTCCGAGTCCCAGGTCTCGTGGAACGAGGGGCTTGGGGTAAGCCAGCTCCCACGGTCACTGCGCGCCTGTCTTTTCCTCTCCGCAGCGCTGGGAGGACTTGAAGTTGAAAGGGCGAGTCCGTCCCGGGCTTCTTCAGCATTCTCGATTTCTTTCAGTTAGGGCTCTACAGCAGCTCAGCTTTCCGAGCCCAAAGGGCCGCGGGCGGCAGCAGCGAAGTTCACCAAGGAGAAACCGGACATTCGGCCTGCGCCGGCGGGACGAGCGCATGCGCGGTGCGCGAGCGCGGAGAGGGCGCGGCTGGCCACGGCTGCGGTTGCGCACAGGCGGTGCCAGGCGCTACGCCTGCGCAGTGGCGGGGCGGGGCGGGAAACAGGGAGGCGGTGGCAGCGGCGGCGGCTGCTGAAGAGAAGGAGGGGGGGAGCGGAGGGAGGTGTTTCTGTCAGTTCCGGCTGTTTGTTCGGGAAGTGGATCCGCCGCTGCCGGAGCAGCCCGGAGGGAGCTGCGGAACGCGAGGCCAGCACCGACCCCGCCCGCCAGCCCGCGCCTCCCCCGCCCGCCATGGCCCGGGACTACGACCACCTCTTCAAGCTGCTCATCATCGGCGACAGCGGTGAGGGCCGAGGCGGCCGGAGGCGGCGTGGGCCCTGCCGGGCGCGGCCCGCGGGGGCCTCGGGGCGGGCAGACGGGCGGGGAGGTGCCGGCCCGCGCGGGGCGGGCGGGCGGGCGGGGCTGTCCGGCGGCCGCCGGTCCCGGGGGCGCGCCGAGGGGCTCCGGGCCGCGCCAAGGAGAGGTTGGGGCGCCGGGCTGCGGAGCGGAGGAGCCGGGCGAGCAGGCGGCAGGGGCGCCCGCTCCACTCACCGCGCCTCCCGCTGCCTCACGTGTGACCTTGGTCAAGTCGCGCGATCCCTGGAGTTGGAGAGACCTGGGTTCGAGTGCTGGGGCTACCCGCTTCCTCACTGTGACCTTGGGCGGTTGTTTCGCCTTTCTGAGCCTTAGTTTCCTCGTCGGAGCAGTGGGGACCTGCCTCTCGGGGAGGTGTGAGTAGTCGATGCGATAAAGCTGGAAAAGTGTGCCTGGCACCGACCTGTCGCAGACGGTTTCTGTGCATAGGACGATGATCGGTATCCTTGTAAGCCTCAGTTTCTTCCTCTGCAAAGTGGACTTGTTCCCGGAACCTGCCTCGTGGGATTTCTGTGAGGTTTAAATAAGGTGAGGCAGGCAGAGCACTGTGCACAGGGCCTGGCTCGTTCCTCCCGAATTGCATTGGCTCTTTCTCTGCGGTTCCGTTTCCTCATCTGTAAAATGGAACAATAGGGTCTTCCTCGCTGGCCTGCTCGGGTGTTAGTGAGACGCCGCACACGTCGTGTTTAGAGCAGGGCCCTGCCCACAGGGAGTGTTCGGCGTTCGTTTGCTCTTACATGCTGTGTGTGCACCAGCCGGGCCTTGGGCGTGGGTCAGCCAGTGTTAGAGAAGTTCTCTGACCGTGTCCACCGTCCTGGAGAGATCCTCGCTCAGTGCACAGCCACCTCTCCAGTGCCCGGTAGGTGCCTCACACACGTTTGCTGAATGAATGGATCTTAAGTGTCCCTATAATCAGTAGGCTGGTTTCTGGGAAAGGGTGGAGAGTTTTGGAGGTGTTTGGTGTGTGGTAGGTAGCAGGTTTATGGGATGACGGAGAGGTCAGGGAGGCAGGCCTCAGGAGGCTTATGGGAGCATGACTGGGGCACTGGGTAGAAGGTTGGGGAGCATGCAGAATTTATAGACCAGACCAGACCAGAGTTGAATGTGGAGAAGAGGGGTCATGTGACTAGAGGCAGAGTCCAGGTTGGTGGTAGAGCCCGTGGATTGTTAAGGAAAGGGGGCCAAGTCAAAGGGGTTGTAAGACCCTGATGTAGAAGCATTGGGTGACAGTGTCATAGCTGGGCCAGGGAAGGGGTGGCTTTTGGTCTCACTGTGGAGCTGGATTGGGATGTGGTTGGTGGTTTGGATCAGGTGAAAGATGGCTGAGGTTTCCGTGGTTCCTGGTGGAAGGGAGAGGTAAGAGGAAAAATTAGGGGTTAACTACGGAGATGAAGAGTAGCTGTGGTTGGGGAAGGAGTTCGAAAGGAGGAGGTTGTGGTTTGAATAAAAGAAAACCAGAGAAGTTGTGTAGATTTGCTCTTGGAAATGGCTTCCAGCATTCCTCTGGGTCCGGAGGCTTATGCCTTTACAGGATTTGATTTCAGCCCTGGCCATGGTTTTGTGGGGCTGGCCCTAGGGTGATTTCTCTCCTTTCGGAGTTAAAGTCAGCCCACCATGGTCAGGGGTCCTTATCCCTCTGCAAGTCATCTAGGGCCTGTGTTGATATCCAGAAATAAAAAGCATAAACTCAGCAAGAAGATGCGGCTTGCTGGCTTTTCTTCTCTGTGAAACCCAGGGGATGGTCTTGGCCCCCTTTCTCACAGTACATTTTGCATGGTGTATTGATTTTTCACTCAGAAGTCAGGTGTGGGAGAAGACTCACTGGGTCAAGATTTATGTGGTCTGGTTCCTAGTTCAGTCTGAGCATGGAGGACTACGTTGTGTGGAGAAGACAAATGCTTTGCAGTTTAATTACTCCTGACAGCTGATACTCAAAGCTGAACCCTTAGGAGACTGGGAGATGGTAGCCATGGAAGTTCACCTAAGCTTTGGTAGCTGAGCAGGGAGACAACTATCATGCACTCCCCTGACCTGGGCTCCTTGTGTAGATGCTTCCTTAAGGTTTACCAAATGATTTCACAGACACTTTCTCATCTGGTTCTCACCCTGTGCCTGTGTAGTTTGTTAGATAAGCAGACTAAGGCTCAGAGGAGCTGACTGACTTGTCCAAAGCCACACAGCTCATTAGAAGCAAAGCCAGGAATTAACGCGCATGGATTCGTGTGTGAGCAGCTGGTGTCAGACCTGGTAAACAGTAGGCCCTCAATGAATGTTGGTTTCTTTATAAATCTAGAGTTCTTCTTCCCACTCTGTCACATTGTACATGCTTCTGGAATACATTTCCTCAGCTTCTGTAGTTCTTCTTTATGCCTAAGGTTCTTCACTGTATGTTAGGTTCTGGTATTGGCTCTGATTTGTAACAGCATTTCATCTGATCCATGAGCTAGCCATCTTCATTCTTAGAACCCGGAGGCTGGAGTGGCCATCAGAGAGCTAGTTAAAGCTTTTCACTTTACAGATGAGTGAATTGAGGCTCAGAGAGGGGAAGTGACTTGTCTGAGGTTATACAGTGAATTAGTTACTAAGTCAGATTGAGAACATTTTACTGGAAGGTCTAAAGGTCTTCAGCAGTGTAGAACTGAAGCAAAGGGGAGTGAGGGAACTAGAGCCCAAGGGAGGAGCAGGGCTGAGGGTGGGGACTTCTGTGGAGGCTGTTAGAGGGCCAGAGCCTCTGTGTAGTTCAAAAGGCAGAAGCAAGGGTGAGAGGGAGTGTGATGCGGGGAGTATGGTGATGACAGAATGGTGTGTGAAGTTTTTGCAGAATAAGTCTGTCTCCTGGCTATCAAGAGGCAACAAGTGCTGGCCTCTGCTCCTTGCAAGGTAAAAGGTGATGGGGCTGGACTGGTTGGGTTTCTTACGAGCTATGGCCTTTGGGAAGCTGTTGACTTCAGCTGTGGTGAAGGTAAATTGGGATTTGTCACTTCCTCCCTAAGGCCAGTGCTGTGGGACGAATGGTAACAGCATATTTTCCCAAAAAGGCCTCTTCCAGGGATGTTTAGGAGATGACATTTCTCAGGGTGGGTGTCTGTTCCATTTAAAGGGAAGAGCAGTGCTGGAGGTTGGTGTCAGGCCCAAAATGAGGCTCGGAGGAGCTGTTGGTGTGGTGACTGTAGAGGTCTTTCTGCAGCCTAGTGGTTTTCAGAGGCTCTGCAGAGGAGTTTGTGGCTGAGTGAAGAGGACCCAGAGAGGCCAAGCTGGAGGGAGTGCTGGTGCTTCATTGCTTCATGCAGAGAGAGTACCGCCCCCCTTATCTGTTTTAGATGTGTGAGAGTCAGGTAAAATTTAATTAGAAAAAAGGATTTTGCCACTCACCCAAAGTTTGAAAAGCACTGCTTTGGCTCCTGTTAATGCTGCACTCATAGCGTCAGATAGCATAGCTGTCAGTGTGATTGGCATCCGTTTAGTCATAATTCATTACATGGCGTTTTGTTGGCACCTACTAAGTGCTGGGCCTGGCTTCCAACACATTGAATGTCCAGGGTAAGTGAGGTGAGAATCGCCTTCCTAGAGGAACTCACAGCCTAGTTGCCCAGAAACAGCTTTTAGCTGAGTAAGCGGACCCAGAAGTCTCCAGGAGGAAGCAAAGGAGCCAGCAGGGCCAGTGGGGTGTTGGCGATAGGCAGAGCGCCTTGAGGGACCCAGCCCAGGACTTGGGCTCAGCAGGAAGCCTCACAGAGGCAGCAATGAGGAAGTGGCTCTGAGCAAGCGTGCTGCAGACACGGGTTGAGTAGCAGGTACCCTGGACGCAGCACCTCCAGCTTGCCTTTGGGAAGGTCAGACCCAGGTTTACTTCATAAAACAAGTTCTTCTCGGCTTCCCTGGACAATGTTCTCACCTGGAGAGGTCTCCAAACAGATCATCAGAGAGGACTTTGGATTAGTTAGGGTTAGAGAAGCACAGCTGGGATGGGGGCAGAGGTAATGCCCTTTCTGATGAATGCTATGGGCTCCTCCCTGCAAATATGCACATATACTCAAAATTTGCACTTAGGTGTAGGGCTTTCTGAGACCCTAGATTAAGACCTCTTCAAATCTAGCCTTGATAGCACTGCTGCTAAAAGTCGACCAGGAGTGAGATGCAAGAGCCACTTTGGGGTCTTTGTATTCAACTTCCTGAAACAGACACAAGAAGACTCCCGAGCAATATGTATTGGAAAGACCTTTAGAGCGCTGAAGTAGATAGCCCTGGATTCAGATCTCCGTTCCACTTGCTGTGGAGGCTCCTAAGCCAGCTGCTTAGCTTTTTGGAGTCTCAGTTGCCTCATCTTAACAGATGCAGTTGGAGTTATAGGAGCATCAAAGTGCCCACCACACACAGTGCTCTATGCATGCTAATTCTTTCCTTCTGTGGTCAGTTGACCCAGCCAGCCTTAGGTGGGGCAGGGGTAGAGGATGGGACAGAAGGACAAAGGACAGGTTGCCCCTGGCAGGCTAAAGCTGCTGTGTGTTGAAGTAAAGGAAAGCCAAGCTTACGAGAGTTCCGCCTATGCGGGGAACAAGCATGCCAGCAGATGCTCTGGCAAGTGAAATGCTCTGAGCACACAGAAACTGTTGGGCTGGTAGTGTATGGTAAACACCCGTCCTCACTGATCCAGCTGACAGTGCCATAATGGGGGTAAGATGGTAAGATGGCTGACAATTGGTTTGAGTTGTCTGGACTTCAATTTCCACACCTGCAGAATAGCCCTGATGATCTCAGGGTTCTTTGCAGCTCTACAGGTCCTCGCCTCACACTGCATACTAACCAAAGCTGCACACATAATGTGCAGTTTTCTTTTCTTTTTTTTTTTATCCTTACCCAAGGACATTTTTGCATTTATCTTCAGATGGGGGGGGGGGGGGAGAGAAACATCGATGTGAGAGAGACACTAGTGGTTGCCCCCCCATATGACCCCAACTGGGGCGGGGACAAACTGCAACCCAGGTATGTGCCCTTAGTGGGTACTGAACACGGAACCCTCTGGTCCACAGGCCGACGTTCTAACCGCTGAGCCAAATCGACCAGGGCATGATATGCAGTTTTCTAGGGACCACATTTTAGGCGCACTTTGGGGTCAGTATCTTTTGGTTGACCTTCCTCTGCCTATTTCTGTCATCTGGTATCTTCCTCTGGGTTGCTGGGGCTAGCCCTCAGCACAGGACCTGGGAACAAGTCCCTTTCTCATCTCTTCCCTGGGCTTTGGGCGGCAGCTTGTCTTTCACTAGGACAGGAAAAGGCTAGAAATTGAGTCGGGGAGATGTTCTTGGTGTGTAGCTGCTTGAAATCAAAAGGAGCATTGAGGAGGGAGCTGGGTCCCACTGAGCTTAAGAGTTAGGACCTGGGTGTCATCTCCCTGAAGAAAGAAGGACTGAGTTGGAGGGAGGGGTCCTATGTCACCTCTCATATCCTGCTCTCTCTTCTGCAGGTGTGGGCAAGAGCAGTTTGCTGTTACGCTTTGCAGACAACACTTTCTCAGGTGAGTGTGCCCCTGGGGTGCTACTGGGGTGTTTTGGTTTTGAAATCCCTTTGCCTGGCGCCAGAACACACCTGCCTCTGCCTCGAGTCGGAAACCTTGTCACTCTGATTGCAGGCTGGGGGAAGGAGGAGAGGAGGGAGGCACAGGTTAGAAGTCTCTGTGGTCGGTCTTACTCTGTCCAGTTCAGAAAAATCCTTTACAGGCCCATACTTTGGCCACACTGGGTCTTTCTGTACCCCAACATTAAAAAAAAAAAGTTAACATATTACAAGTTAGTGCATGCCTGTGTAAAATTTCAAATAGGAAGACTCAATAAAGTGAAAAATGAAAGCTGTCCCTTCTCCTGCTCCCTCTGGTGCCCTGGCAGCTTCTGTTCAGCATGGTTTCTATCTTTCCGACTTTTCTGCTCCACTACACATGTGGTGGGTCAGCAGCTTGCTTTCCCTTAGTGTATCTAGGATCGCCCTTCCACGGCTACCTACAGACCTCTGGTTCTTTTGAATGGCTCTGAAGTTTCCTGGGCTGTGCATGGATGCTCGTGGTTCGTTAATAGTGCTCTTGATAGGTTCATGCTTTCTGGTAGCTTCTAGTTTCAGTGGCACTACATTTCTTGGGATACATTGTATGTTTCTTTTTTTGGTATAGAAGCGTATTCACGAGGTCAGGGGGGTATGTGCATTTAACTCTTTCATGGTACTCTGAACTTTAGCTTTCAACGCTGTACTAAGTGAACTGACACGCCCACTGAGGGGGTTTAAAGGGCCCATCAATGCTGGGGTCTTGGTGGTCATTTTTACTAAATCAATCAGCAAAAAGTGCTATCTTATTTAAGTTTGTATTTCCCTCTTCACTGTGGATGTGCTTCTGTGTGTTGAATACATCAGGTTCATCACAGAGGCTTCGGGCTGGCCTAGCCTCTCTGATCAAGGATGAAATGTGACTGTCTTGTAGGGAATTCCCTATGATGTGGTTAAGGGGTGAGCTAAAACTAGGAAGTGTTTGCATGGCTAATGCCTCTCTTGGTGGAGAAGTGGGTTCTCCCAGCAGTAGTCTAGCAGCACCTCAGGTGGTGTGATATGCAAAGAGTTGTCTGTGTGACCACAAGCCTGACTAAGTCTCAGCTCATCTGTAAAGTGGGACTGATCATCATCCTTCCCACAAAGGGTTATTGTGAGGGTCACCTGTGATATTGTAAGTCATAGTGCCTGGGATTCAGTAACCTTTCAGTACATACCAGTGGTTTATTGCTAGCACTTTCTGTTTAAGAATGGTCACTAAAGGGGCAGCTTCTTCTTATACTGAAAAATATTCCTTTTCCTCTGTATGACCCTCTGACTCCCCATCCTATTGGCTTCTACTCCTGGAGGGCTCTCTTTTGCCGTCTCGCTCCTCTTTCCATTTCTACTACCAGTATCTCAGTTGGTTCTAGCCTGAAGCATTGCAGCAGCTCCTGCCCACCTGCATTAGACTGCTGAATTTATCCAGCTAGTATATGGCTCTCCCAGGGGCTTGCCTGTGCCTCAAATCTCAGCTGTTCTCCCTTAGGTGAGCAGAGTTCATGGCAAGGCTTCTCCACCTGAGCACTGTTGACACTCTGGGCCTTGTGATTCTGTGTTGTGGGGCTGTTATGTAAAGGATGTGGAGCAAAATCCCTGGGCTCCACCCACCAGATGCCAGTAGCATTGCCCCCCTTGCCTCATTTGTGACAACCAAAAATGTCTCCAGACATTGCCCAGTGTTCTCTGTGGGGACACAGTCCTCCCTGTTGAAAACCACTGGTCTTCATAATCTGTTTTCAGCTCACCTTTCCAGCTTTCTTGCTCCTACTCTTTGTTCATTCTTTTGTTGTTTCACAAGCTCTTGCTCACTCATTCATTCAGCCACCAGCTGCTAGTGGAGCGCCTGCAGCCAGAGGTGCTTGGGCCATGCTCCTTGGTGTCATCCAGTGCTTGCTGAGTGCCAGGGCTGGCTTGTTTCTGAATGTTTTTCTCTGTTTTGCTTCTGTTCTTTTCCTCTGGGTAGCATGTCTACCCCCACCTAGTCTCAACCTTTGATATTTCACCTATTCTTTCAAGCTAGGCTGAATGTGATTTCCTCCAAAGCCTTCCTTGATCTCCACCCCACCTTGAACTTTGACCTTTCCTTTAGAGTTTTTGATACTTTATAGAGTCAGTTGTATGTGTACCCTGTCTGCAGCACTGTGTTACACTATAAACTTCAAAAGGAGTGAAAACATGTTTTAGCATTTGGGGCCTTTGTAAGCCTGGACAGGACTGTTACTTTGGCCAAAAGTTCTCTTTCACTCCATCTTTCGCAGGGATGCCCCAGGAGAGCTGTTTATAAAGCATCTCATGCTCTGATGAAAACCTTTAGTGCCTTCCCGTCACACACAACAGAAAGTCCAAGCTCTCTAAATGGTACAAATGCCTGAGATCAGGCCTGTGCACCCCCTCCCTACTTGCCTCGGACTTTGTGCTTGACCTCACATGACCCCCTTCCCCCACTGCTAGTTTTGCTACTATCTCCTCTGCATTGAGCATTGTTTTTCAAATCGCAGGTCATGACTTCTGTGTTAGGAAGTTAATTTTGAGGGTCATTAATAATGTTTGGAATATAATAGAAAAGGAAAAATGTAGAGTACATGATAGGCCTCCCATCGTTCTCAGGCCATAGCTAACAAACAGTCCGGCCACTCTAATTAAAGGAGGCTGTCCCTCCCCAGTTACATCCCTGGTTTTATTTCCTTTGTGGCACTCATCACTCTTGAAATTGTCTTCATCACTTTGTTTCATTGTATTTTGTCTGTTGCCCTGGACTGGGGGCTCCATGGGGCTCCATCACAGCAGGGACTATGTCCCTGGGACTTTGAACATGCTGGGGCCAGAGTTAGTGCAGTTTAGTCTGACTGGGGCACCTGTGGGCCTTACTAATGTGTGTGTGTGTGTGTGTGTGCAGGCAGCTACATCACCACAATTGGAGTGGATTTCAAGATTCGGACTGTGGAGATCAATGGGGAGAAAGTGAAGCTGCAGATCTGGGACACGGCTGGGCAGGAACGTTTCCGTACCATCACCTCCACGTGAGTCAGGGCAGCCTGCCCCCATTCTGATCCCTTGCCACTGACATTGGACACACTTGAGAGACTAGTCCAGGTCATGGTACAAATGTCACTGGGATGGGCCCCTGAGGCTATTGGGAGATAAGTTCCATGCTGGCCACAGTCGGTGATGTCAAGCTGAGCCCTCCTGTTCCTAAAGACATGGGAGGAGGAGGGAATGAGGTGTGGCTGCTGCTCGTGGGTGGGCAGTGGCTGAGCACCCTGGCTCTGGGGGCTGGCAGGACTGTGCATGCCAGTCATTGTACCCTTTGGCCATTGGTTCCTTTGTAAAATGGGATGAATGATATTGGCTTCACCTGGTGATTAGTCAATGACATTTATCTTGCTGGGGTGCCAGTTGTGACAGCTATACAGCATCCTGTTACCCACCCTGACTTCTAGGAGCTGGCTTCTCTCTGTTGGGAGGCCTGGAAGGATTGCTGATGCATAGGAGGCTGCCGAGAGGCCACTACTTGGCCTCCCCAAAGCTGGTTACTGAGAGCCTGGCTCACCCAGTGGGCTGCTGTCCTGTGCTGCTGCAGCATCTTTGTGACTTTTAGCTGCACATAGGAGGATTGCCCAGCTAGAGCTCCAGACAGCTGGAGTCCTGTGGACCAACTCTTGGTTCTTGGGCTGTTAATGAAACAGATTCCAGGAAAGAGCACAGCTTTGAAGGCAAATGGTGCAGAATTTACATTTCTGTTCTACTGTGTGACCTTGGGCAAGCTGTCTTAACTGTTCTGTGCTTCCAGTTTCCCAGAGGGTTTATTTCTAGGCTTTGCTTTAATGCTGAGTCCTATGTGCCAGGTATTCTGTCTGTGCTGGGCTTCATGAGTATCTCATTGAGCCTTCTGCAGGAGGTACTATTATTGTCCTCATTTTACAGATGAGGGGACTTCTGAGAAGGATCCTGCTCCCAGTGGGTGGCAGAACTTGGGCTGCACACCGTGGTGTATACGCCACAGTAGGAGCTGGGTCTGGCCCACAGTAGTTGCTTCTTCGGTAGGCCTCTCCTTTATCTCCCCCCAGTGGTCCCTTTGTGAATGGGGGCTCTTGGGAAGGGGGGTGAGGAAGTTCTCTGACCAGAGACCCCTTTTCTCCCTTCAGCATGGACATGGGGCAGACTCGAGGCTGGCTACAGGATCTTCTGAGGGTGGGAAGTGTGAGGGGTGAAGAGCCCCCACAGTGGTGGCTGCGAGTGTGGGGGCACTCTCGGGGGTGACAGCTGGCTGGCCCTGGTGAAGGGCTCGGATCCTGAGCAGTTTTTGTGGGTTTGTCATCCTTTGGTGAGCACTCAGGTTCTGTGGTCCGAGACACCTCAAAACCCCAGAGGTCCCATCCTGGGGGCTGTGCAGTGCCGTTTCTACAGCTACTTGCTGATGAGCTGCCTGAGCCCCTTGTCTCAGTGACTGTTGGTGAGGCTCTAAGGAAGGCAGAGGTGCCTTGGGGGAGGGTGGATGTCTTTGGGTGGTTTGTGTGTCCAGGACCGAACAAGACCTCTTGGTCAGACTAAGGCATTGACTCCAGATGTCCTTACCCTGGGCTGGGACTCTGGCTAAGGACGCTACCTACTTCATTATATTTAATCCTGATAAAAAGAGTCCTGTGATTATCTCCATTTTATGAACAAGGAAAGTGAGGCCCAGAGGGGGTGAAGTGACTTAGCTTGGTTGGTTAGTCAGGAGTTGAATTGAGGGCTGATGCCAAAGCTCTTGCCTTTAACCAGTCTATAGGCCTGCTCTCTGCTGACCCCTTACCCCGGGGCTGAGGCAGATGGCAGATACTCTAGTGCCTCCCGTGGGCTAAAACCAGTCCTGGAATTCAGGGCAGCTGAGATTATTGGGCCTAAGGCCACAAGAAATGCTTCAGGCAGGGCAGTGGGCTGTGGGGTACCCAGGCCTTTTTAGCAGAGGAGACACAGCCCCTCCCCCTGGCTGCCATGAGGTCAGCTTCTTTGGGGTGGGGGGGTGAACAGTCTCTTTATTCAGCTGCCTGAGGGCTATGTGTTTCTCTCAGGGTGCTGGAGAAGGGGGCAACACTGCACCCTGGCGGCTGTGGGCACCAGCTCGGCCCCTGCTGGCTGTCCTGTCTGGGGAGGCTGAGGGTAGCTCCACCTCAGGGTCCCCAACTCTGCCCCTCATGAGGCAGGAGATTCTGCAGGTCATGCTGAGGGGGCCACGGAAAGATTCGCCACTCTGTGATGGTAGCTGGTGAAGGAAGGAGACTTGGAAGAGGTCGGGAGTTCGTTCTCTTTTCAGGGATTAGGGCGGTCAGGGTACAATAATGTGGCCTTTTCTGAATCAGGGCATTAAAAGAAAAACTCAAATTGGATCCTTTTAACCTGACAAGAAAGAGCCTGATTGTCATCCTCTCACAGTTTCTTGTCTCTTGGTAACTGGGTTTTACTGACCAAGAGGTGTGGCTAGGGGCTTGGGTTTGGGGAGGAGGGAGGCGTGAGATGAGAGGGAGAGGTGACGAGAAAGGGAAGCACCTTTGATACCTGGCCCTGACTTTGGCATTGTGGCTTCAGGCAGGTCACTCAGCCTCATGTCCTCACTGATAAAAAGGCAGTCCCTCCTGTCTGTCATACCAGATTGTCACAGACATGATTGGTAGTGGATATAAGCGCCGGGTGCTGTGCCTGGCACAGAGCTAAGCTGTGGTGAGTGGAAGTGAGTACTGATGGTGGCCCAGAGGCCCTGGGGCCCTCCACACCAGAGCTCTGAGTTTCCTTACATGGGCCCCAAGGAGGGTGGAATTTCTCATGGAGCAGCAGGCCTTTTGTGCAGGGGTCAGAGCTGTAGGTATTTCCTGGTATCTTTAATAGTCTTAGCAAAGGAGAATTTGGAAACACTTTCTACTGCTCACACTTTGCTGGAAGGGGACAGTCATCTCTTCCCCTGATTCTTGGCCTGCACTTGTACTTGCTCAGATGGGTGTCCACCAAGCTGAACGGGTAGTAACCTGGTGCTCTCAGCAGCAACTGCTGGAGGGCAGGGGGCAGGGCTGGTTCTGAGGGCATAGTGTTTGATTATTAGGGCTTCCCAAGGCAGGGGATGGCAAAGCCATGGGCACTGGTTCTTACCTCGTTGTTTTCAGAAGCCCCTGGTGAGTAGGAGTCTCTCTAGCTTTAGGCAGGGTGTCACCTGGCTGTTGGGTCCAGGAAGGCTCTCCAGGGAAGTGGAAGTATGAGGCCTTGTCATCCTCTTCCTCCCCAAGTTGATGTCCTCCGTCTATCCTACTGAATCAACTGAATGAGTGGGGACATGGTGTCTGGAGGGGAATGTTTATACCCTCCTGCCTTCTAGACCTTCTAGCTGATCTCGGGCCACGGGGTCTGCATGTTTGGTTCACCCTCTTCCAACTGTACCTGCATGCCCTTACTGTTTCCATGCTCTCTGCCACCAGCATGGAGGAGCGGCGGGCTGGGAGGTGCCCACCTGTCCCCAGGGAGGGAGTAGGGAGTTCAGACCTTGGCAGAGTTTCACAAATAGTGCATCTTCTTGGAATGGCATTTCACTAAGATTTGAGGAGAGAAACATTTTTGAATGTCAAAACAAGGATAGTGATAATAAATGTCAAATGCCAAACCTGCCTGAATTTTAAATATAAAACAAAAACTTCAAAAAAGTTTCAAGCTAGAGGCAGACTGAATAACCTCGGCTGGCCACCTTGGTGCTGAGCACTCCCTCCCCACTGGTGCCTTGGGGCAGCGTGAAATGCAGGCTGCTGAACATCCCCTCCTGCTGGCTGGGGCAGTGTGAGGACACCAAGCGGAGGAGACTCTAGGTGTCTTGCTGGAAAGTGTTTGTCCCTCCCAGTTCCCAGCTGCTCTCTGGGCGTGGGCAGGCACATCTTGTGTAGGCTGAAGCTCTGATACAGACACTGGCCCTACAGATATTATCGGGGAACCCACGGGGTCATCGTGGTTTATGACGTCACCAGCGCCGAGTCCTTTGTCAACGTCAAACGATGGCTTCACGAAATTAACCAGAACTGTGATGATGTGTGCCGAATATTAGGTGAGGTTGGGCTCATTGGGGTGGGGACAGTGGGATGGAGGGTGCCAGGGGGTGCCCCTGCAGGGCCAGCTGACTTTGCTTTGCCTTGAAGTGGGGAATAAGAATGATGACCCTGAGCGGAAGGTGGTGGAGACAGAAGATGCCTACAAATTCGCCGGGCAGATGGGGATCCAGTTGTTTGAGACCAGTGCCAAGGAGAATGTCAACGTGGAAGAGGTGAGGCTCGATTGGAGCAGGGACGGGGAGGGAGTGCGGCCAGTTCTGCTCCACGACCACGGCCCTCCTCTCCCACGGCTAGCCTACCTAGGGCACCGGGTGGCCGACAGAGAGCACCCCATCAACTGCCAGGCTCTTTCAAGTGTTAGCTCATATCTCAAGTCCTCTGAGGAAAATTATTCCCACGCTTCAAATGGGAAACTGAGGTTCCAACTTAAGGAATATTTCCAGCTTGTTAGAGACTGAGTCAAACTTTGACCTGTCCACACCACAGCTACTCAGTCATCTGCCTCCCTGTCCCTGTGCCCACTACTGTCACTTCCTGCTTTCTGGCTTTCCCTGCGGCCTCGGCCTCCAGAGAGCAGGTGGCCCCTGCTGTGGGTGCACATTCCCTGCAGACGGCTGAGCCTTTGGCCCGCAGCCTCCCTTCACTTTTGTGGGGCCTGCTGGAAAGCAGTCGGGAGTCTGTGGGAGAAAAGCTGGGGCTTTTCCCACAAGCCCAGGCTGGCTGTACTCATGGCTTTGGGTGAGTCCTGCCCACAGTGTGTGGAGTCCAGAGGCCGAGGGAAGCCAGATTCCCACTGTATCCTGGACACCCGCCGCCTCAGGCAGGCTAGGATCACAGTGTTGACCTTTCCACTTGGGAGCCTGTGGTGGGGCCTGCTTGACCTTGGGCAGCAACTTAGATCCTTAGGCTTCGTGTCCTCTGTAGACTGGGGTGGGGTGAGAGTCCCTGCCCTTGGGTTGTGAGGAAAAAGTGAAGTAAACTGTTAAGTGCTGGATGATACCTTTCCCGGCGGAGTGGAGGACAGGACTGTGGGTTGGCAGGTGGATCCTGGCATCCAGGGCAGACTTAGGGTCTAGGGGAGGTTCTCAGCAGGACGTGCAGTGAGGTGGCATGGAGTGGGCAGGCTCTGGGTCCTCTAGCCCATCACCAGAGCAGGGGCACCTTTAGCTGTCTTGTCCGAAGATTCCAGTTGAAGGAAAGGGGTTCTTTCTCTCTTTAAAAGAGTGGTAAATCCTTAGATTGACTTCCCCAGGACACAGTTCGTTGGTCTTCGATGTTCCTCCTCTTTGACCTTTATACGTCACCACCTCCTTCTCGACAGGGTGTGAGGACATACATATCAAAAAAGTCATGAGTGGAAATAGAAAGCTGGGCCCTGGGAGGTGGGGAGGCGGGGAGGCGGCCATGCTGGCCAGCAGAGGTAGCGCAGCCAAGACGGGGCCTCCCTGCGAGGTCTGAGGCGCGCCCTGCCTCCTTCATCCTCACAGATGTTCAACTGCATCACAGAGCTGGTCCTCCGAGCAAAGAAAGACAACTTAGCGAAACAGCAGCAGCAACAACAGAACGATGTGGTGAAGCTCACAAGGAATAGTAAACGAAAGAAACGCTGCTGCTAATGCCTCACCCAGCCCACTGCAGAGACTGCACTGCGGCCACTCCCTGGCCCGAGGCCCGCGGGGCTCCTCGGGGGACAGTCTCAGTTTCGTGCAGTTATTTAAGAATTCTCTCCACGTTTTTGTATCTGGAGGCGCCATCGGCACTTCCTCCCCTCCCCCTCGAGTACCAACAAGAAGGTGTTGGACAACCTGCCCTTCCCTTCTGGTGCCCCTGCCCCTTGGCCAAGGCGCCTGGGCCGGGCGAGGACGTTGCCAGCGAGCGGACTGATTAACCAGTTTGTACATAATGTATATTGCTTTAACCGGCCGTTTCACCCTCGTCCTGCCCTGGCTTTGCCTCTCTAATGCCAGCCTGCTGCGACAGATCCTCCTCCCCATCCCATCTCACCGCCAGCAGCTTCCTGAGGAGACAGGATCGTGTTCTAGCCACATCTTTTGCCAACCTGGACTGTTGGAGTGGGCTCCACGTTACTCATTCTCTCCTGCAGGCCTTTGTGGACTTCTGTACCTGGCACGTAGGGTCTCACCCATCTCCGGAGCCTGTGCCGTCTGTGTTCCCAGCCTAGCTCCCTGCCCTTCCCATCTCCTACCCCTAACCATTCTGGCAGCTGGGGAGGCCTGGCCTTGATATAGGCCTGGGGTTCCCATTAGAGGCCCTGCCCTCAGCTGGCCCAGCCCTTCAGTTCCACGGGAGTCACTCCTGCCCTTTGGCCAACAGATTTCTTGTTTTGCCTTCTAGACGCCTCTAAGCTGCAAACCCAGGAGAGCTGTGGCTTCTATTTATACCAACCTGTTTCAGTTCCAGCAGAAGGACAGGGTGTGTTCATGCAGGGATGGGGCTTAGGAGCATTATTTTAACAACTACGAAAATGAAGCCAAATCAAATGAATTAAGTCCTCACACTTTTTTTCTCTTCCTGAGGTTTGGTTGGCACAGCAGCAAAAGTTGTGGCCTCCCCCTTGGGTCCAGTGTTTTTAGAAAAAGTGAATGGCTTCCTGTCATTGTGGGCCGGGCTCTTGGCAGAGCAGCTCTGCCTTTCTGGACATTTCTTGGTGGGAAAGAAGAAGGGGCCTTTCATCCTTGTCTGTGGTCCTGGGTCTTTGATGTGGGGAGTGGGTGCTGCTGGACTGTGGGGAGGATACCCCTGAGCTGGACGGCAGGCGGCCTCAGATCACTGACGGAACTGTTAGTAGGGAGGTAGCACGAGGAAGGCATGGCAGCTGGGGCTTGGAGCCGGGCAGCTTTGACCTAACCTGGTCCCTTGGAGGAAAAACCAGGGTCGTTGCACTTGATTACTGCCCCCTTCCCTCCTCCTTGGGACATTTTATTCGCCTTCCCCCTAAAAGGATCACGTAACCTGGGAATAATTTATTTCAACACCATGATGTGTTTTATTAGATTTCCTTTCCTAGGCAATTTCCAGGTGAAGTCCTGACTGGACAATCAGATCACACTGCAGATTTTCCTCATTAACACTGGTGAGGGGTTTTTAATCAAAATGGGGAGTTCCTTTGACCTGTTTTCCCACTTCCCCAAAATGCCAAAACACTGTGGTTCCACGTGACAGGCATTCACTTTGGAGCCACAGGATGAGTTCTGTGGGCCTGGGAAGGCGGTGCTGTGGGGCCAACCAGAAGGCAGCCTTGTCTGGTTGGGCCAGGAGCAAAAGCAGGGTCTCCGTCCTCAGACTGTCCTGGCCGATCATGGATCCTGGGTGGGCAGCACACTCCACTCTGAGCGTTAAGATGACGCCACTGTGGCAGTGCTCACAAATTCAAGCAATAAGAGGAGGGGTCCTGGAAGTGTCCAGCCCAGGCTAGAAACCCTCATGGCTTCTGGCAACTGGATGTCCAGACCCAGGTGGCGAGGTGATTTTGGTGACGACTGTGCCTGTCCCACTGAGTGTTAGTACGCATGAATGGGGGGGGGGGGTGGGGGCCTCACAGGGCTGGGCCGATGTCCTGGTGGACCTGATGCGAAATCCTGTTGAACAACAAAACTTTTAAATGGTTTGCTAGGATTATTTCTGTATCGAAAGTTTCTAATTATGCTTTTTTTAAAAAAGTACTAAAAATAAAGGTTCAAGCTGCCAAATTTTCTTCCAGGGTCTGTTTCCTCTCCTCCAGCTGTGCTCTGGGTGGGCCTGGCTTCTTCCATCCACTGTGTCCAGCTCGTTTGTTCTTGTCCGAGTCCTGAACAGGTGCTTCCGAGGCCCAGGGACACTTTGAGAAGCCAAGTTCATTTTCTCCATGAAAGGTTGGTCCAGGCTGAGGTTCTCTGGTTTGACGTGTTGGCTGAGAGCACACGTGGTACGAAGCCAGGGGGAGCGCCCTGTTTATTCCCCACGTGCCAGAAGGGTGCACTGGGAGCTTTGCCTGAGTGACTTCTTTCTGGCTTGAAGTGTGTGCCGGGCTGGAGGGCCTGCCTGTGGCTGGGCAAGTGCAGCACTCCCTGGCAGGGAGCCCAGGCCAGGGTGGGCATGGAGGCGGCGCCTTCCGCCACTGCTCCCAGATCAGCCGTCACTGACAGGATGCCTCCACCCTCCAGGGGAGGTGCCCCTTCCTGGCTGAATCCACTGGTTGGGTCCCAGTGGCTGAGGTGACCTACCAGGCACGCTGTGGACTGCCTCTCATGCCAGCCAGTGCGTTCTGAAAGGTAAGCTGCCTTCCGACCAAACAGCCCTTCCGGGCACCCAATGACTGAGGCGGGAAGCTCTGTAGAAATTCAATTTATTCTTAGACTATTTTCAAAAGAAGCAGTGGTGCGCTGTTTTTCTAAAAATATGCCTTTATAGATTTATATATAATATGTATATTATAAAATCCATACATGTATTTACATGATTGCTACATACAAAAGTACAGCACTGTGGTATGTACATATCTATAGGTACATTCTTTCCGCTCGTCCCTGCTGTGCTTTCCCCAGGTGAGGGAGGGAATCGATCCTTTGTGAAGCAGCCTGTGGGCTGGCTCAGCCCGGGGCCTCTGAGTGAGGAGGTGCAGTGGCTGCTGAGGAAGGAGCAGAAGCAGCAGGTGGCAGGACTCATCCTTCTGCGAGCCTAGTGGGCAGTATCTGGAGGCATCCACCCCTGGTGACAGTGCTGCCCTTGAGATGGAGGTGGCTGATCACAGACCCCTCTGGGGTCGTTTTGTGGCCTGGGCTTGCTTGGCTGAACCCAGAACTTGTATATGTGCAGGGAGCAGGGGGCTGGGAGGAGACCCCTCCCCGCCCCGGCCCCATGGAGGGGGAAAGGGCCGGATGGCTGAAGCCTGCAGAGGGCCTGGGAGGAGACTGGCTGGCAGGCCCTGCTGAGGGGGAAGGCCCGCACTGGCGGAGGCCGGGCAGGGAGGGCAGTGGCAGCAGGGGGCAGGCCCTTCTTCCTCTGGGCTCGGGATGGCCTCAGCCAAGCCACAGAGCCCACCAAGGCTGAGGGCAAGAGAACGGCCCCCGCCGTCAGGCCCCAGGGGCTGGGTCTCCTGTCCGCAGAGGTGCTCCTGGCAGAGGCGCATGCACATGGGGGAGGGGCTGCCTCCCCTTACTCCCTGGGCCTGGGGCTGGGGGAGGGATGGAGGCTCAGGCTTGGTGCCCTGCAGGACTAGGTCCCCTGCGGCTCAAGCCAGCTGGGGGCAGCAACAGCCTCCTGAGGCATGCGGAAAGGGCCCCTGTTTCTGTTCCCCAACTTCCATAACAGGAGGGCAGCAACGCCTGGGGTTGGGCTTGGGAGCCACTGGGATGGGCAGGGAGGGCCGCTCCGAAGGCAGCCTGAGCCCTGCTCAACAACAGCAGATCCTAGGGACACCCAGGCAGGGCTTGGCTGGGCAGTGCGACAGGGCTCCTGCCCGTCCCTCTGGCAAGGGCAGCCTTCAGAAGCCAAGCAGCCCTCCTGGACGACTTGGCCCCAGTGCAGGCGGGCACTGCACCAGGAGCCTGGTCCAGGGAAGGCCCTTGCATGCAAACCCAGTGCACTGGGCCCTCACCTGCACCCCTTTCGGTTGCCTCCGGTCCACCAACCCTTGCTGGCCTGACTTCTCCCAACTTAAATTTTCCTGAAGAATGAGAAGAGCCGTTTGCCTTCAGTGGTGCTGGGCTCAACCCCACGCCCCGCGCCATGGGCCCTGGAGAGGGCAGCAGCAGGCCGGCTCCGTTCCTTCAGGTGCGTGTCCATCAGCTGCCGGTCAATGACCCTGTGCATGTCATCCTGCAGAGAACACAACGGAGGGGGCTGAGCAGGGCAGTGTCCTGGCACTGGGGGTGGGCAGGGAGGGGACAAGCCTGAAGGACAGGAGATGATGTGAAATGAGGATGAAGGATGAGATGAGTGAGCGGCTGCAGCCAGGGCTGCCCAACCAAGAAAGCAGCAAGTGTAGATGCTGGGACACTCGGGACCACACAGCACCTCATCTCGCTGGGCCTGGCCTCTCCCTGACCGTGCTACCCCTCGGCTGACCCCACAGACGGTTTGTCCCAATAGGCAGCTGGTACCTTCCTGTCTGTCCACGCTGGCCGTCAGCTGTACGCCAGTGCTCAGCCTTGTTTGTAACAGCCCCTCTCTGCTCTGCCTCCCACGTCCTTTGAGGCTGGGTGGGTGCCTGTCCCTGCCAGCAACCTCAGCTTGCCAGCTCCCTTTCTCCTTCTAATTACCGTTCTGAGCTGCTGACACCCATGCATCACCAGCAGCCACACGTGACAAGGGCAGACTCCCTGGGTGCTACCCTTGCCTACCAACGACCACACTCGTCAGCCCCCTCTGCGAGGCCCCATCTGGTAGAGGCCCGCGCATCACCACTTCGGGGCTTGTCTTGCTTTAACTTAGGCCCGTTTCCTTAGCCCCCTCACTGCGGTAGCACCTTTCCCTTTCCAATCTGTGCACGTTGCCCAGAAAGTGCCCCCTCACCCGACTCCACCTCACAGAGGAGCTGCTGGACAGAGCACCCCACTCGATTCTAGTCGCTGGATTCCGATTCTGTGCGAGACTCCCTTTGACAAAGGCACTCTGCCACCAACAGTATGACGACGACTGGTTTAGAAATCTAAGCAGCCCTGTCTAGGTCACTCAGCAGGAAACAAGCATCTGCCTGATTCCTTCACCCTTGAACCCCGCGGGCTCTGGGATGTCCTGGTGAAAAGACACTGAGCTTTGGGCTAAACCCTGGGGTGAGCCCGCTGCTTGTGTCCCACGACAGTCAGGGGTGGGAGCTCCCTGAGCTCGGGGCAACCACTGCTTTATGAGGGCAGAAGGGGCTGGCCAGCCCCGCTCTCCCTGAACAGTTTGTCCATCACCTACGTGCTCAGCCAAGCTCTCCCCAATGGGTGTCACGCAAATGTCTGCAGGTTTCAGTGTGAAACACTTTCTTAGCCATGTCACCAGGTGGCGGCAGGTGCCGACCTTGTTCCCTTCTCTGCTCCTGTCCTGTTCTCTTCCCTGTCTTTCTCTCCTTCCCTCCCTGTCTTTCTTCATACTCGTCCTCCCTGTACTCCTCCTCCTCCCCCGGAATCCAGCGCCTGCTGTCAGAGCCCCAGCACAGCCCTCTCCAGGAGGCGCTCCACACACCTTGCTGACTGCAGCGCTAGGACGGCAGAGCCGCCTTAGAAAGAAACCCTCAGAGCGGCCAGTGTTGCCACTGGCACTGCGCACCGCGGTCTCTATACCCCAAAGCTTGCCAAGGGAATCCCATGGCCTACGTCACCGTAGAACATCGCGCACACACGCATGAGCTGTTCACAATGCCGGGCCTGCTGTTATTTCTGTGGGTGAAGCAACCCATTGATGAGGCGGTACCAAAAAACCAGGGGTCAGCCTGTCAGTACTGGGCCACGTGCTGCCGCGTTCACGGACATGAGGGTGATGGGAGGAGGGAGCCCGGGGCCCGATGGCATGGCACAGCGCGCAGAGATGACGCCAGACTCCAGCACACAGAACATGGTGGGCCGTGAGGGAGGCGGCGGGGACGGGACTTGGATGGCAGTGAGCAGGAAGGTGGGTGGGATGAGGGTCAATCTCACCTCAAAGGCAGGAGGGGTGTACAACTAAAGCTGTTGATACGGGAACTGAGAAAGGCCACTAGATCAGAAACCAAAGGAGCCAGATAGTAAAAAGCCCTGAGGAAGCAAACTGTAGCCAGGAGAGAAGAGAAAAGAACAGGACAGTAAGCCAGGGACCAACTCTCGGGGGGTGTGGGGAGGAGGGTCAAAGCTCAGAAGGGCCCCTGGAGGAACAGGCACCAGAACCTGCCCTCCACGGCGGGGTTTGCCTGGTAAAGCCGCGGGCAGCTTTTCACCCGTCTGGTTAGGATTTCTTGGGGAGCAACATGAAGGGCTACACCCACATCCTGAAATTGTACCACGCTAACCTCGTTAACAAAAAGCAGCAGAGCCCCGGCCAGTGGAGAGCCACGTTAGCCCTGAGACGGGAGGCTGCCGGACTCGGAGAGCAGTGCTCCTGGCGAGGGCCACACCGACTCCCTCCCCAGGCTCGCACCAGGGCAGGGCTCTTCGGAAAAAGGAAGCTGGCCTTTGGCAAAGGGGAGGGCAGCAGCTGCCAGCAACCTCAGGGTTGCTGAACTACACCTGCCTGCGTGTTTCATTCAGTCGTACAGGGCTTCCTGGGCCCTCCACGTCAACAGCCACCTCCTTCTTGTGAATTTAAACAAAGCAGCGATGACCAGCTGAAGGAGGCCCCTGTTCCGAGCCTGTGGGTCACCACGGCCCCAAAGAGCACAACCTGGGCTTCAGTGCTCTTGACAGTAGCCTCAGGCATCCGCCCCAGGGACAGAGGAGCAGGGGCTCTGGATGTCCGCAGGTGAAGACGGGGTTGCTGCTCATCCACGTACACTGGACCACCAGGACCCAACTGTCCTACACGCTGCCGGCGCTCAGGCTCCTGGAGCCTTGCCTTCCCGCTCCTCACCTGCCAAGCCTCGAGCTGCTGTGAGAGGTTCAGCTTCTGCTGAATGGCATCCAGCAGCTGGCTGTTCAGAGACATCATGTCCATCTTGCACTTGGCGAGTTCCAGCTCCACAGCGTTCTTCCTGAAAACAGACAAGCCAGGGAGGGCATGGACACCTTGTGCCAGGACCTGGTTCTTTACCTGGGGCCCCGGGGTCCACAGGGGAGGAAACAGGCTCTGACCCTGAACGCACAACAAACACTAACAGTAACTACGATGTTCCTTGTAGAAGGCTGGAAAGTTTGTAGCATGCTTTCAAAGATGTTTTCTTAATTTTCCTAACCAACCTGTAGGGGAAGAGATGATTATCTATCATTGCCATCTCACAGACGAAGTGGTTAGGAGGACGATACTTAAATCAGAACTAGAACCCACAGGAGATCAAAGGCCTCACACAGCACGAGGGAGCTGCTAATCCTCCCCCCCAAAAGGCCAGTCCCTGTGAAAGGTGGGGTTCCTTATCCTCCTGGTCCCCTCCTTTTCACTAGCAATATCCCCTTTAAGGGATCTAAGAGAGACACACATGTGCAAAGGTGGCCACAAAGTGGTGATCATCACAGCTTGGCTAATCATAGCAGCCAACAGTTAGGGGACTGGTGATAAATGACTCACAATGTATTTGGGTCTGGGGGAGGAAAGCACCAAAAAACAAGGTCTGATATACCTGCTTTGTGAAAGAAAAACTGCCTGTGTGTATTTGAAAGTCATTGGCAAAACTGTCTATTTGGTTATCTTTGGATGCTGATCGTGGATGGGTAAGTGCTCTCACACTTGTGCATTTAGTAATTTCATTTTGAAATGTTACACATACCACTTTGTAAACCTTCCCCAACACTGCTAAATTATAGTTCAATGAAAAATACTATTAATAGGGGGAGCGAGAATAGGAATAAAAAGTGCAGTAGACTAACTGGGTAGCCTCTGCAAAGGTCGCACTGGTTGTCTCGCTGCCAAAATGAGCATTATTTAGCCCTTGTCTTCATACCTTTTGCATTTGACACGACGAAAACTAGCAAAAGTGTCCTCGCTGCACAGGGCCAGCGACTAATGTGCACGCCCAAGGACCGCTACCCCCCTGCAGAGGTCGCCCAGCTCTGGCCTCAGGAACGCTCTAGGCTAAGCATGGCTGGAAGGCGGGGCACTTGGAGTAAAGCCTTCAGGTCACCACCGTGACCAGCACTTCCTCACTGGCCTCCAGTCCAGTGAGCAATTAGTCACCGCCCTTGACACCCCACTGCTCCAGACCGGCGCCCCGCCCATTCTCTCTAGAGAAGCTGCTCAGGACGGCCCGCCAGGCCTGGGATTGCAGGGAGCGGAGCTGGGTCTGTCCAATGAGCGCCCGCGTCAGACTCCGCAGGCTGCGTCACCCCCGCTGCCATTGGCCAGTGGCAAACAGCGGAAAATCCTGCAGGAAGCCGGTTGCCATGGACGCCCAGCCTGTCAGATTGAATCCCTGGCGCCCCACCTCGCTGCAGCGTCATGAACTCCCGGGCGTCTCCCGGCAGGTGGCGCCACAAGCAGCCTGGAACCCAGAAATGTGCTGACTAACGCTGCCCAGACGAGAGGCGAAGGTCCAGCAGCCGCTGCCCCTCTCTGAGCTTAGAGGAGGGGGCTCTTCTCCCAGAAAGCGCCTGAAGCAGGGCCCGCCTTGCCCACCCCACATCCCGGTCTCGGGCTGCACCCTCGGAACGTTTGTTCACTAGGGAATGAACACTGGTGCTTGTCATTCGGGGGAAACCCCAGACCAGGAAAGCAAAGTTGCAGAAACCACTAATCAATATATTAATCAGAGATTTTAAAAGGAATATTTTAAGGGGCTAGAAGAATTCCTTATTTAAATGAAAACACTAGTAACTGACTCCTTTTTGTTTTTATAAGGCAGATTGCTAGCCCCAGATTTTTGTTTGTTTTAGTGAGGGCCTTTCTCCCGCAAGGAGAAGGAACACCATAAGATTCTAGAGGCCCGGTGGAGAGGGAAGTTATTTTTTCTTGGGGTTTCTCACTCCTGACTACCCATCAGAATCATGGGGTGGGTCAGGGGGACGGTTTTGTTTTTTAATCTTCACCCGAGGATGTTTTTCCATTTATCTTCAGATAGAGTGTGAGGGAGGGAGAAACATCAACATGAGAGGGACACATCCACTGGCCGTCCCCTGACCAGGGTCAGGAGCGAACTGCAACTGAGTTACGTGCCCTTGGCCTGAATCGAACCCGCCACTCATTGGTCCGCAGGCCAACGTTCTACCACTGAGCCAAACCGGCCAGGGCAGGAGGACATTTTTAAGCAGCAGCTCTAAACCCAGAGAGTCAGGCTGAATTTTCTGGAGAGAGTTCTGGCATCCGGAGAGCTCCCCACCTGCTTCTAAAGTGCAGCCAGGATGATGTATATGAAATCACCATGTAAGACTTTTTTCTTTAATATTCCCCTTTATATATATATAATATATATATAATTGAATTTATTGGGGTGACATTGGTTAATAAAATTGTATAGTTTTCAGGGGCATAATTCTGTAATACATCATCTATCATCCTGGAAAACTCTTAAGGTCCTATACGAATGTGGTGTGACTCCCCCAACAAATTTAAAATGTTTCCTTAGGATGCCCGGCTGGTGTAGCTCAGTGGCTGAACATCGACCCAGGCACCAAGAGGTCGCCGGTTTGATTCCCAGTCAGGGCCTATGCCCAGGTTGTGGGCCCAGTCCCCAGTGGGGGGCGTGCAGGAGGCAGCCAATCGATGTTCTCTCTCATTGATGTTTCTCTCTCTCTCCCTCTCTCCCCCGTTCTCTCTCTAAAAATCAATAAAAAAAAATTTTTTTTTAAATGATTCCTTAGGTCTGTTGTCTCAATTTTTATATACCAAGAATTTCATTTCTAAGGCATAGAAAAAGAACTGTCCTGGGGTGATCTAACAACTCCCCTAAGGTCTAGCCCTGCTCTGTAGGGTCCAGGAAGGACAGGGGCCACAGTGCAGAGCCCCCCACTACTCGGTGAGGAGAATTTGTAAATCTGCCCAGACTCCAGGTTACCTGGGCAAGGAACGGTAGGTATTTCGAGGTTTCATGGGGATTTGGTGGCCTCCTGTCACCCAGGTGTCCTGGCTAGGTCCCACTTATCTTAAGGGAGAGGGACTTGTCTCTTCTCTCCTGCACCCTGGCACCTTCTCCGGTTGCATCTCCCACCTCCCGAGCTGATGAAGAATATGGTCCGAGCCTGATGCTCACTCTGCCACCTGCCTCGCTGAGAAGAGGTGACCACAGTCTCTGCTAACTTCACTCTGCTCTGTTCCCGGGGCTTCCACATTAGCACCTTCACGTTACCTTCTACCCCCTAACTGTACGACACAATTTCACCCTTCGTTCTTTATCCGTAAGTCAGCTCCCACTCCAAATGATCGCACTGCCATCCAAGTATTCACCAACTGAATCTACCAGGCAAAGAAGTTGAGGAAAGAGTGAAGGTAGGGAATATAGAAAATGAAATCCCTTTCATCAAGCTAAAACTATTAACATTTTGAAGGTCCAGGCACGAGAAAAGACTCTATTCTTTTTTTTTTTTTTTTACTAGCCTGGGAACAGAAACGTTTTCACTTTCCAGTCCCCTGTCAATGCCTGAAAATACAGAGTGTGGCAAAAGTAGGTTTACAGTTATATGAGTCTGTGAGACAGGGTTTATTCTTTTATTATTATTTATTGTTGTATTATTTTCCATACAAACAACTATAAACCCACTTTTGCCCCACCCTGTACATGTGGACATACCCCAGACCTCCAGAGAACCCCGATTATCTCCCTGAAGGACTCCCTTATCCGGACCACGTGACCGCCATCAGCCAGGCCACTGATGTGACCAGACCTTCTGGTCTCAGAGGACCTGGCATCCGACATCCAGAACGCCTCCCGTCTGACGGACAGCCTCCTGGACCAATCCCAGGGCTGAGAATGCAGGACGAAGAACTTGAACTCTCCTCTCTTTGGAACATTTCTGGGTCTTAGTCTGTGTTTCTAGTCTGAAAACTCTAAAACCCTTGAACAAATATCCTTTATTTTTAGCCGAAGCCTCCAGACTCCGAGTTCACTCAACAACACGCAGGTTCGTGAGCCTCACCGAGCACAACGTTCCTAAATGAACTGCGAAGGGGCTCTGACCAGATAGAAAAGGGACCCAAGGAAAACACTAAGAAATGGAGAGGATGAAAACGATCCAGAGAAGGGAAGGGCGGGGCCAGCAGACGTGCAAGTCAGAAGGGGAAGCTGTGGGAGGTTTTAAAGTCAGAAATTAAAACGTATCCTATAATTTTTTTTTTTTAATGACATGTAGTATCTAATTACAAATTGTTTCCAATGAGCTCCTTTAGCTTCGTGACAAGCCGCGGGGTGGTAAGGGGAAAGGATGTAGGGACAGGAGTCAGAGACCCGAGGGGGCCAGCGAGCACCACTGCTGGGACCCTGGGGAAAGAATCTGCCTCCTCATCTGTAAAACTGGGGTTGAATATATTTACCTCTTGCTGTGGCTGGAGGGTTAAAGGACAAAAGCAAAGTGATGCACAGATGTTACTACGTGGTTAAAGCACCCTAAAACAGATACATTTTTAGTACTTTTTATCTCCTCCCACTCAGTGACTAGGGTAGACTGAGTACATGGGGAATATAGGTAAACCTGTTTTTTTTGTTTATGTACTTCCAAATTTTTTTAATGTAAGAGAATGCATTTATACATTTCTTCTCTGCTAAAGAAAACCCAAAACATTGAAAAAAATCACCCATGTCCCTGGAAATACAGGGGAAAGAAAAAAATGTTCAATCCCACTCTGGGGATGCACTCACACTCAGAATGTAGAAAAACTCTGAAACACACAATCCAGTTTCTTCAATAAGTAAATGCGACATGAACAAACGGAGGGTAAAACTCGGGACTTAACAAGTAAATGGACTGTGTGGACTGTGGCGTCTGGGTCTAATCAATTATAAAAAGACATTTACGGGACAACTGGGGAAATCCAAACCCTGGATACTAGATGACCTAAGAACTGTTACACGTTTTCTCAAGAGCGCTGTCTTGGTGGTGGGGTGTTTTACAGAAAGCGCTTTTTTCTGGTCGAGATCCACACCGACGTGTTCACAGATGAGCAAGTAGGTTGTGCTGAGACTCTAACCCTGACTAGTGGGAGGTGGAGAAAGGGGGAGGACAGCGATGTAAAACGCCAGCCACGTGCCGATCGCTGCTGAAGCTGAGAGATGGGTAAGAAGGGATCCGGTGTATGTTCCTACTTGTGTGAGCTTGAAGATGTTCAGAATAAAAGTTTAAAAAAAGAACCACCCTAAAAATAAAAATGTCGAGGTAGACACAATGAAATTGGCAGGCTCTCTGCGATGTACATGGGGGAGAGAACAAGACACGTAGAGCCTCATCCATTGACGCGTTACAAAGCGCACGCCTGCACGCACAGCGCCTGTGTGCACAGGGAAGGGCCTGCGGACAACGCACGTCCCAGTTCCACCAGCGTCTGCGGAGAAGAACGGGGCTGGGCTGGGGTGGGCGTGCAGGGAAACACTCCCTCTCACTTTTATATTCTTCTGTATGACTTAACTTTGTTTGCTTATTTATTTATATTAATCCTCACCTGAGAATATTTTTCCATTGACTTTTAGTCCGAGTGGCGGGGTGGGGGAGAAACATGGATGTGAGAGAGACACTGATTGGTTGCCTCCTGCACAACCCCGACTGGGGCTTGAGATCGAACCTGCAACCCAGGTACTTGCCCTTGACCGGGAATCAAACCCTCAATCCTTTGGTCCTCGACCCTTTGGTCCTCGGGCCAACGCTAACTGCTGAGCCAAACCAGCCAGGGCTGTGTGATGTAACTTTGAACATTGAGAATGTACGCATGTTACTTGTCATCCAAGTAAAATGAAACAAGCCACGCTCACTCACTTTGCAATGGCCTCATCCCGGTCCCTGATGGCCTTCTGAAGATGCTCCTTTGGTTCCTTGTCCTCAGATGTCACTCTGAGTCGGTCTCTCTCCTCCTTCAGTGCAGTCATCTCCACACTCAGCAGTGTCACCTAAGAGGAAGCCCAAGGGATGACGTGATGACACCACAGCTGCTGGGAGAAAGGAGCGAGGAGCACAGGCCAACCGGCAACTTCCTGTGGCCCCTGCTCCGAGGGAGACTCATCTCTCCTGGGGACAGGATGCCGCACGCTAGGCTGAAGCTCGGGGCCCGGACCGCAGCCACGGAACCAGATCCCCTCTGGACGCAGCACACCACACCCCTCCTTTGTCAAGGCAATCCCAGGGACTAATGAATGGAGACCACACATGCACCAGGGCTCTGAAACACATTTTGCGGGGGCAGAAACTCACGTTTTGTTTCTACTCAACGAGGAGCACCGTTAACCCGCGGAGCCCTGGCTGGTTCAAGCCTGGGACCTGGTTCCCATCTCTGTGACAGCAGCTGACGCAACCTGGCCCCACCACCTTCACCCTGCTGGCCGGGTCCACGGCCACATGCAATTTAGACGCCTAACGGATGCTGTCACCTTTCCCTTCAAACCTGTCACCGTTTCTGCGCTCCATGCCTCGGTGAACAGCGCCCCAGCCCGCACTCTGGCGGGGAGGCTCCTGTGACCACGGCTCACGCACTCACGGTGACCCTGAGCGGTGTGAAGGCAGAAAGCGCGTCCTATCTGTGCACCTCGGAGCCTGTCTCTGGATGACGCTTAATCCCAAAATGCTTGTGCGGTGAGTGGACAGCTGTGATTTTTTTTGGCTAGTCACCCTACACCCCTTCCTATTCTGGGGGCATTCCTGGTTTCGTGAGTCTTGGTGGAAGACAGGACAGGCTCCCCCCACTAGGGGAGTCCAAAAGTGAGAGACATATTTCCGGGGCACCTGGGCATGAATCCGTGACTTGCCAGACACACACACCCCTCTCCCCTACCTGGGCCTGCAGCCCGTCAGGGGACAGCAGAGCCACAGGCCACCGGGAAATTATTACAAGGCCAGTAGACTGTCGCCCTACTTCCACAGCTCCTTCCTGTTTTGGAGCTCGGTTCTCCAGACTTCAGTCGATTCTGAAAGCTAGCAGATTTAACTGCCATACATTCTCTTTCTGCCTAAGTTGAGCTGAGGGAGTTGCTGGTCCACAACCAGAAAACCGGACTGGGGGAGCGTTCAGCACGCATCTGTGGCGTGACTGGAAGGGTGGAGTCTTCTCACAGTCGACAGGATCAGACTGGAGTCGGGATGCCTGACCTGCCCTCTTGTTAAATATTACACATACTTTTGACATTTTCCCAAGGGAGGATCCATCCACACAGGTCTGTCTCTCCCAGCAGGGGAGAGACGTCACCTTTCGGTCTACTCTCTTCCAGTCCCGGGCCTGCCCATCGTCAGACAGAATAGCACCGAGGCCCCGGACTAAGGCTGAAGGTCGAGTTTCCCTGCAGACACTCCGGACCCCCAGACTAAGACAGCAGAGGTGCCAGCTCCCGGGAAAGTAGCCATCGGGAGGAAATCAGAGGGAGGATACCCCACAAAGAAGAGGGTGTAGGACGATATCCTGTCACTATGGGCAATGGACTTTGTCGTCTTGGGTGCCTGGGGGGATCGTGAGAACGTCAGGACCTGGCGCTCCGTGCTTTCGGGTGGAGATAGTTCGGGAAGCAGGGCTAGCGGCCTCCGGGAAGGACAGGCTGGGGCACCTGCAGAGGCCATGACGCATGGGCGCTAACCCTGGGGCAGGCCGGGCGGCAGGGAGAAGCCAGCCTCGCCCTAGCGTTAGCAGGTTCTGCAGCTTGGCAGCCCAGGACTCAAGGCCCAGAAAGCACCTGGCAGAGACAGCCAGGCCTCCAACGACCCCATGAGCCCGGGCAGGACCTCGGGCCAACCGTGGGCCAGACAGGCGTTCTGCTCACTGAGTAAGCGACAGGATGAAAGTACACGCGAGGCAGGAAATGCCAACATTTACTAGGCTCCAGATAGAACTCAGCAAGAACTTTTTGCTTTGACCTGGAAAATGTGGTCAAGATAGACACCACCAGTGACCTGCCTCAGGACTGACGCCACCGGCCACCGGCCTCAGGAGTGACAAGGGGCTCACCTCTCGGAGTCACAGACACTTCTTATAAAAAGCAGGAACACATGTAACTATTTTCCACGACTGAGCTCTTGTGAGAGTCAAATAAGATGATCAACATCCAGGACGCAGCCGGGTGCCTGACGCGGGCCGGGAGCTCTACCCCGTGCCCCTGCCCTGCCCCCACCACCGGGGGGCCTGCTGATGGCCGATCTGGCTTCTTTACACATCGACAGGTCGCAGCCACCCCTAAATCCACTTTTCCCAAAAAAGATGGGGGTCCTCGTGACTGAATAGCCTCAAAGAAAATATCCTGAAGTTACACGTCGGGGGTGCTACCTGCCCTGGTGCTGATGGCTCTCCGAGCGCCTGCTCTGGGCAGGGCGCTGTGCCTGACACTGGAGATAAAGGGCAGTCAGACCCCCAGGCGTCTGGTCTGCTGGGGGTCTCAGGTTTGACTGGGAGGGGGGATGAGAACGAGGGCAAGCGTGAGCACGTAGGGCCGGGCGGCTCCAGGAGGAAGGGAATCAAGAGTCTCCAAGGGGGAGAGAAACTGATCAGAAACGTATGGATGAGGAGGGCTGAGATCACGTGCTGGTGGCAGGGACAGTCCTACGGGTGGAAAAGCCGGATGACAGGTCCAGACGTGGGGAAGCAAGGGGGCCGTGTGCCCTTTAGAAGCTCATGTTCAAGCCCTGGCCAGGTAGCTCAGGTGGTCAGAGCATCCTCCTGACACATCCAGGCTGGGGGCTCGATTCTCGGTCAGGGCACATACAAGAATCAACCAATGCTCTGGCCGGTTTGGCTCAGCGGTTAGAGCGTTGGCCTGTGGTCCAGAGAGACCCGGGTTCGGTTCCCGCTAAGGGCACGTACTTAAGCGGTTGCAATTTGTCCCCAGCCCTGGTTGGGTCGTGTGGGTGGCAACCACTCGATGTGTCCCTTTCATGCCGATGTTTCTCTCTCTTCCGCTCTCTCCCTCCCACTCTATCTGAACAAAAACCGAAAAAATGTTCTCGGGCGAGGATTAAAAAAAAAAGAATCAACCAATGAATACATCAATGAGTGGAACAACAAATCAATGTTTCTCTCTCTCTCTAATCAATAAAAACTTTTTAAAAAAGTTCACACGGGACTCTCAGCAACCTACACCTTGCTTATGCTTCTGGATGAAATAATGCCCTCTGGTGTTTCTGGTTTTATAGTTCCAAGAAGCAACAAGACAAAAAAACCCAGCCAATATCAAAGAGCGGACACACATTTTAATAGGCATCGGCATGAATAAAACCTGTACTGATCCGAAGAACGTTTAGACCCCCGTTCTCATGCACTGTCTTCTTCCGGTTTCAAAGACCTGCCCCTAAGTCTGCACTATTTCCTGGCCCATCGACCCCCGAGGGCCTTAGGTTTTAGGCAGGAGAATGTTTCTGGCTGCCCAAACCTACCCCCCATGCTCAGCCAGAAACAAGCCACAGCTTCCAATAGCCTCTCCCTGTCCTGGTCGTCCGGGTCTTCACAGTGGGGGCAGTAGTTAACGGCTGTGGGTGGGACTCCCAATTTCTTCCAAGGGAAGGTACTAGAAAGTCTAATGGGCATGACCCAAAAAACAACAGGAGTTTCTTTCTCTCACTTTTTTTAAAATCCTCACCTGAGGATATTTTTCCATTTATTTTCATATAGAGTGGGAGGGAGGGGGGGAGAGAGAGAGAGAAAAAAAGCGAGAGAGAGAGAAACATTAACGTGAGAGAGACCCATCAAGTGGCTGCCTCCCACATGACCCTGATCAGGGCTGAGGACGAACTGCAACCGAGGTACACGCCCTTGACCAGAATTGAACCTGTGACTCTTTGGTCCGCAGGCCGACATTTTAACCGCTGAGCCAAATGGGCCAGGGCAGGCGTTTATTTCCATACGGTCCTTGAAGTGGAAGAAACAGACTGGAGCACAAGCCAGACTTCAATTCCCTCTCATCAGTCTCGTGTAGCAGGGAAGGGGCGACTAGCTCTGGGCAAGAGAAGAGGGGGGCAGGCTGGGTGGGGGCAGGGTTTAATATGCTGCCTGTCTGGTGTCCCCCACAAGTGACATAGAACCTCTGCACAGGACCCTGGTCGAAAGGAAGACCTTGTATTTATTTATCTCCTAAGACACACCGTGGAAGCTCCTTTGCGGGTGGGGCTGTTCCTAAGCCCTGGCAAACTGTGCAGATCAGAACACGGATGTCCTTCCTGCAGTGTTCCCAGGAGAGAGGAAATCACGGTCCACTGGGGAAGGGACAGCGAGAGCAGCATAAGTGCCCCCGAGGCTGAAAAACAGGCTGGCTAAGGAGACAGCGCTGACGGAGAGGAGACCTGCAAAGATCGACCCTTGGTCTCCCAACTTCCCTGCTCAAAGCTGCTGGAAAAACATCCCTAGGTGTCCTGCAGCTGTGGCCTCGACACGGTCAGAATCCGAGGAAACGGACGGTCGGACATTCTCTTTTTTTTATCCTCACCCGAGGACATTTTTCCATTTTTTGTTCAGATAGAGCGGGAGGGAGAGAGAAACATCGACGTGAAGGGACACATCAAGTGGCTGCCACCCTCACGACCAACCAGGGCCGGGGACAAACTGCAACCGAGGTACGTGCCCTTAGTGGGAACCGAACCCGGGTCTCTCCGGACCGCAGGCCGACGCTCTAACCGCTGAGCCAAACCGGCCAGGGCCGGTCGGACATTCTTATCCCTGACAACGACTTTGGGCTACACCAGGGGACTGGCTTCTTCTCTGAGGACACCCAGCTTCAGGGCACTGCCCTCTGAGGGTCTGTCAGAGGGAACAGACGTGCGACAGGGACACTCCCGAGAGCATCCGGGGACACTGCATACCCCCTGCAACGGACTGAGGACGGGGCTGCTCACCTGACTGTGGAGTCGCTGCAGCTCTTCTAGGCTTTGCCTCAGTTTACCCCTCTCTCCCTCCATGAGTTCCCTTAGGGCTCTCGAATCCTCACTGGTCTGCCTTATCTGTTCTTCCAAAGAGTCATCGTCAATTCTCCGGGAGCTCTGACCGCACGGGAGCGAGCCAGCCAACCAGGGGGTGAGGGTGGAGGGCAGCGGAGAGATGGAGAGGAGAGAGGGCAGAGTTGGAGGGTGAGGGGAGCAGAGACATGGTTTAGTTCAGGGGAGAGCAAGACAGGAGAGGAGATGGGGAGCAGGAGGGAGAGAAAGGAGGGAAGATTAGAGGAGAGAGATTCTCTTGCTCAGTTTCAATCCGCCAACAGCAGCTAGACATCTACATTGGTTGTTTCGGCTTCAGGGCAAGGAAATCACGTGGCGTGAAGAGCACCCTCCCTCCCACGGCTCCCCCTTCCCCAGGACCACGTGCCTCCATTCTGCAACCCATTCCACAGACCCCACGGCATGTTCAGACACGGACAGCCTCCCTGCAGGGGGTGACCCCTGAGGGGAAACAGCCTGAGAACAGGGTGAGTGGAGGGTGAGGCAGGAGGAAGGCCAGGCTTCGGGGGCCCTGGGCACACGGTGGTCCTCTCCACAGAGCCGACACCGAGCCCTGCAAGGCCTGTGCATCATCTCAACTCCCCCATTTATATACTTTCAGCAGAAGCTCCAGGTCTTCTCTGGCCTGTCCAGCTAACCCCACCACGGGGACCAACGGGCTATCCATGCTCTGCTCGATCTCGGAAAGGAATCTGCACTGTTTACCTGGATCCAAAGTTCTACACTCAAAGCTTCCAAGGAAAGCCCTTGAAGGCGAGACCACCAGGGCCCGTACGCACATGGAGAAAGGCCTCCACGTGCCCTGGTGTCTGCAGGAGGGAGGCCCGTGCAGACCTCCATTGCCAGACACTTGGCCCCTCTGCTCCACCACCAGGACTCCGGGCTCTCAGAAGAAACTTGCAGACTTATAAGGTTCCCATTCCGGGGTGAGCCCCACTCTGCACGTGCTTTCAAGCTCCCGCTAGCCGGGCCCTGTAAGGCACGGAGCTGCCCAGCCCGGCCTCTTACCGTGGGCTCCATGCCGTCCACGATGCTCTGTATCAGCCTCTTGAGCTCGCTGAGGGCGGTGCGCAAGCTGCCGGCCGGCACGTCCTTGGCAGACGAGGTTTCTGAGGACTCGTCCATGGAGGAGTCGGTGGAGACGGCCGAGTCAGCACTGTCGTTGCCTCGCAGGTGTGAGCAGAGATAGCGGACCTGGCAGTAGGCCTCCCAGAGCTGCAGCCTCAGCTGCCGCACAAAAGAATTCTTCTTGACCATGGGCTCCAGAGGGCACCGCCACCCGGTGGTCTCTTTCTGCTGTGCGAGCCCAAGTGTCTAAGGCCCTATCCTAGGAGAACGTTGCTGCTGTTTTTTAATCACCCGTGCCAAGAAATACTGACAGTTATATGGGCCCAGGACATCTATACAGACTCCCAGTTCTTACTTCCCTGCCCTCCGGCCCCTCCCATTTGCCAAATAAAGCCCTTCTGTATGGTCAGCTCCTCTGGTGGGAGCCGGTGCGTGACGAGGGGAACGAGTGGTTATGTGCAGTATGAAAAGCCAAGTGGATGGCTCACGAGTGACCTAGGACCGTCACCATAGAGCTATGAGGCTAATGACTAGTTAACAAGGTTTCCCATGAGCCACCGGGGCGACAATGAGCCAGGGACATGCTTCCATCCGGGCCTGCTCATGACTCTCGAGCCAACAGGCCCAGGGGCTTGCACAGGCCGACGCAGGAGGCACTGATGGGCTCCCCAAGTCCCCGGGGTCCCCAGGCAACCTCACATGCCAGAGTGACAGGGGTGTCAGCACCTGCTCCCGCTCTTGCTCCAGCTCCTCGGCCTCCATGCTCTGCTCGATCTCGGACAGGAGGGACGTGCTGGCGGCGGCCGAGCTCTGCAGACTCCTCTCCTCGGTGAGCTCGTCCACTTTCACCTGCAGCTGCCGGTAGGACAGCCGCACCTCCTGCAGCTCCAGCTGGCTCTGGTGCAGCTTTCAGAGAGACAGCAAGTGGTAGGGCGGCTTGTGAGAGCCAGGCCAGGCAGGGAACACCGACCCGGAACCCGATCGTGCTCCTGGGTCCAACCACCCGTTTACCAAAGAACACAGACCAGGGAGAAGCATGCAAACCACGCCAGGGGCCACAGCCCGCGAAATGCACATTTGGGAAATTCTACAGGACGAGCAGCTCAGTTTCCTCCACAGATAAACTTCAAGGAAAATACAAAAGGTATAGGGGGAACCTACAGATTAAAAGACATTTAAGAGACACCAGCCGACAGCAATGTGGAGGCCTACTTTAATTTGTACCTAGATTCAAATGAACAATGTGAAAAGCAATGATAACATTTATTTATTTATTTATTTTTTTATCCTCACCCGAGGACATTTTTTGTTCAGATAGAGAGGGAGGGAGAGAGAGGAAGAGAGAGAGAGAGAGAAACATCGACGTGAAGGGACACATCGAGTGGCTGCCACCTGCACGACCAACCAGGGCCGGGGACAAACTGCAACCGAGGTACGTGCCCTTAGCGGGAACCGAACCCGGGTCTCTCAGGACCGCAGGCTGACGCTCTAACCGCTGAGCCAAACCGGCCAGGGCAATGATAACATTTATAAGACCACAGAAAATGTGAACACTGACTAGATATTTGATGATATTAAGGAACTATTGCTAATGTTTTAGGTATAACAGTCTGGTGGTTATATTTCTGAAGTTATCATTTAGAGGTATTTGTTATTTGCAGATGAAATTATAAAAATTCTGGGATTGACTTTATCTTTTTATGTAATTTTTCTTTATTGATTTGAGAGAGAGAGGAATGGAGAGAGAGAGAGAAAGAGATAGAAACATCGATGAGAAAGAACATCGATTGGCCTCCTCCAGCATGTCATCCCCGGAGATCGGGCCCCACAACCTGGGCATGTGCTCTGACTGGGAATCAGACCAGCAACCTCTTGGTGCATGAGTTGATGCTCAACTACTGAGCTACACCGGCCAGGCTGGGATTGACTTTAGAGAGGAGCAAGTGGCTGTGATGAGGACTGGTGAGGAGTCCATGGTTTGTGGGGTTGGGCGTGGGGTACATGGGGCATGACTGCACTATTCTGTTTCTGAGTTTGCCTGCAATTCTCCACAGTAAAAAATCACACACACACGTAAGATACCATTAGCGTCTCACCACAACGTGGCTAAAACAAGTAAGACAATAGCAATATCAAAGGCTGATGAAGATGTGGAACTGGGGCCCGCAGGGCTGGTGGGGGTGGAAGGTGAGCTGCCATCTCAGGAAACCGTCTGGCAGTGTCTGTGAGTGAAATCCACAGCGACCCTGTGGTCCCGCAGCCCCACCCTTCAGGGGCGGACCCAACACAAAGGTGTGCACGAAAGACAAACGAGATGCCCACAGCAGCGTGACTCCTTAGAGCCACACATGGGCAACAACCCCAACGCCAGTAGAAACAGAACGGACGACTAGAACACTCTACTGCAGTAAACAGAACACGCCGCTACTCTGTACCACAACACGCAAGAATTTCACAGACACAATGTTGAGCGAAAGCCAGGCATAAAACAATGCCTACTGTATGATGCCACTCATAAAAAGAGCCCCAATTTCATTGAGCGAGGAGAGATGAAAGAACAGATTTATTTTTGAGGAAGTGGCAGGGTGCTGCCTGGGAGGGGCGCTCGTGGGTGCTGATAGGAGACCATGTGTCGAGCCACGTGGTGGTTACACAGGTGTATGTATTTATGTGTAAACATTCACTGGGCCGTCTGCTTGAGATCTGCAGTCTTTACTCATGTATGTTGTATTTTAATGAAAAGTTAAGGCTGCTTGGAAAAGAGCTAGGGGTGGGATTTGGAATACGTCTGAATAGTAACACCAAGAATTTCCAAACCCGTGGGAAAAGCTGTCTGCCTTCGGTCCTACCTCACGGCTTACGGCCAAAGGCCTCGTCCTGGGAGGGGCTTCCCTCTCACACCGATGTGTGTTTCTCTCTCTTTTTCTCTCCACCCACTCCCCTCCCTCTAAAAATCAATGACTATGTCCTCGGGTGAGGATTAATATCGTAGAGCAGACACTGCAGTGTTTTTCCCCAGACTGCTGGCCAGGGGGCTCGGGGCTCCAGCAGAAGCTCAGAGACCGGGGGCCGCGGGCAGCAACTCCGAGCTCCGTAGCCCCACAGACAGCAAGCGGCCTTGCAGAACCTTTGGTCAGTTTTGTTTTTTTTAATCCTCGCCTGAGGACATTTTTGCATTTATCTTCAGATAGAACAGGAGGGAGAGAGGGAGAAAGAGAGAGACATCGATGTGAGAGAGACACATCGAGTGGCTGCCACCCACACGACCCAACCAGGGCCGGGGACAAACTGCAACCAAGGTACGTGCCCTTAGCGGGAACCAAACCTGGGTCTATCTGGTCCACAGGCCGACGCTCTAACCACTGAGCCAAACCGGCCAGGGCAGTTTTTTTTCCCTCTGTTAATCTTCACCTGAGAATATTTTTCCATTGATTTTTAGAGAGAGTGTAAGGGAGGGAGGGAGGGAGGGAGAGAGAGAGAGAGAGGAACACTGATGTGAGAGACACATCGCCTGGTTGCCTCCCACATGACCCAGACCCGGGCCGGGGATTGAACCTGCAACACAAGTATGTGCCCTTGACCTGAATCAAACCCACAACCTTGGGTCCACAGGCTGATGCTCTAACTGCTGAGCCAAACCGACCAGAGCAAAGCCAGCCAATTCTTTAGGTGGCCGAGAGCCTCGCCCTGCGGGCTGGCATTGGCCAGGCTGTGGCCTCCTGGTCTAGACGAGCCTTCACCAGGAAGGTCTGGAACAAGGCGGCTCAGAACGAAAAGGAGCCGACAGCTTCCTCTGCGTGGTTCCCATGGATCAGCAACACCGGCTGGTCCAGTGGGAACTCCTCCCGCCCCAGTTTTGAGGAAACTCAGAAAAAATAAATTAGGGTTAAAAAAAAAAAAACGTAAAAGAAAAAAGACATTCCTAGGAAGCATTTGGCCCGGTTACAAACGGCATACTGAACTGGCAAAGTGCTTTACAATTATTTTCTAGACAACTCCACACACATCTCAGCAGGAGAAGTTCAGCACAAACAACTACAAGTGCTTCTGCACTGGACAAAATTAGTTCAATTACTCATGCACACTCGAAGGTGCTTAATTAATTATAACAGCGAGAGAACAAGAGACCAGGACAGGTCTGCCCTCTCTGTGGATCAATAACTGATCCACAGACTTATGCAGGAAAAGCAAAGCACACCAGGGAAGTCTATTAAGTAGAAGAACCCTCTAGAATGAGAAACATCATCCTTGAGATAACAAAGATGACACTAAATGTATTTATATGCATCAACAAGGAAGACACCAACGCCTTGTGTTTACATAGTATAACAAGTTCAAGCCCTTAACGTGGGCAGAACTGGGGCGCAGTCTCCCCATTTCAGAGGGAACTGAGATGGTGCGATGTGAAGTGACCTAGCAGCACATGCTCAGCGTCCGAGCGAGGGCCGGACTTGGGTCACCCGCTTTCTGGGTCACCCCACAGTGGGGCTGTGCGCCCCCTGTGGATGAACTATGCCTACTCACTGGGACGAGGCCCCTGCACACATCTGTAAGAGGCCCAGCTGGGTATGAAATGGGGCAGTAATGTAGACTTTCAAGGGACAATAGCCTTTCCTGGGTATTAAGAGTTTTAGCAAAACGCTTGAATTTTATACATGTATTGGGTTCTCGATGAATAATAATTCTCAGCCTGAAAAAAATCCAATTTGGATTTGATCAGTGGGTTAAAAATCAGTGTTTGAGCCCTGGCCAGTGTGACTCAGCGGTTAGAGCATTGGCCCGTGGACCCGAGAGACCCGGTTCAGTTCCCACTAAGGGCACGTACCTCGGTCGCAGTTTGTCCCCAGCCCCGGTTGGGTTGTGTGGGTGGCAACCAGTCGACGTGTCTCTCTCACGTCAATGTTTCTCTCTCTCTCTCTTCCTCCCTCTCTCCCTCCCGCTCTATCTGAAGATAAATGCAAAAATGTCCTCAAGTGAGGATAAAAAAAAAAAAAAATCGGTGTTTGACCGTAGAACCCCAATGACACAGTGACCCAGATCAAGGGGTGGGGGCCACTCCGGCCGTGGTGGGCCTGTTACCCTGCCTGCTCAGCCTTCTCTCCTCCCTTGTCTGACTGGAAGGATACAAACCACAGCATTACATCCATTGCAAGGCCACCGGCTCTACAGTTCACAAATCCGATTTAGGACCATTGAAACACTACCTGAGAGAGCTGGAACTTTTATTTCTGTATCATACAGGCCATTTCAGCAACAGAAAGGGTCTGTGGGGGACCCTGGTCACAGCAGCAGTGGAAGGAGTTTCTTATGAACCCCAGAACCAGAACTACCCATAGTTGGGAGAGCCGAGAATTCGGCCGTGAGCGCAGATTTTCCACATCAAAGCGGGAAGCGCCCGACTTGCTGCAGGCCCTGGGGAAAGGGACACGCCCCTTGAAGAGGCCCGAGCAGATGACAGTGGACGGCAGGTGGTGAGGCTGTGAACATGCTGTGACTTGGGGGACCTACAGTCCACCGCGCCAGCCAGGCACCGGAGTCCGCACGGGTCCTGGCTCTTCCCCACCCCCAAGCCCTCAGCTCTTGATTTGAAATGAGGACATTTCATTTGAGAACTCATGCTAGACTGCGCGTTCCTTTGGGGCGATTTTTCCATTTTTCTGCACTTGCTCTCTGCCCTCTACCTCGGCAACCCTCAGGAGAGGGTGCTCGACGGGGTGTCAGTGCTGGGGAAACACCCACTGGCTGGAAGTTATCCCCGAGCGCCAGGTGAAGCCGGTGGGGCTCTCTAAGCGACTGCGGACCCACGGTTCACTTTCTCAGCCTCGGTTTTAGAATGTACGCAGACGGACTTGCTCCCTGTAAAGAAGCAAACAGAGCACTGGCCGGTTTGGCTCAGCGGTTAGAGCGTCGGCCTGTGGTCCGAAGAGACCCGGGTTCGGTTCCCGCTAAGGGCACGTGCCTCGGTTGCAGTTTGTCCCCGGCCCTGGTCAGTCGTGCGGGTGGCAGCCACTCGATGTGTCCCTTTCACGTCGATGTTTCTCTCTCTCTCTCTGTTCCTCTCTCTCCCTCCCACTCTATCTGAACAAAAAATGGAAAAATGTCCTCGGGTGAGGATAAAAAAAAAAAAAAGCAGCAAACAGACGTTCCCCGCCGTTGACATCATCCACCTTACAAGATGAGCAGACCCCTTCCAGCACTGTTTTCTATTCAACATTAACGTAGGCCCCGCTGTGGGCCAAGTTCCAAGCTGAAGGTACAGAAAGACATGGAGGGAGAAAAATGGCTAATTGGCCCTTAAAGAGATTCATCAGTCAGATGGTAGCTCAGCTGATGGTGCAACAAGTGATCGTCCCCTAAGCCATCTGAGCCCACATCCCAGGGCTTTTCCTCAACAGCTAACCGCCCAGCCCAGGGGCCCGCCTGGTGCTCGGGCATCCCTGCTGACCACCTGCACACGGGTGGCACTGCTGCGACCCATTCCACTCCCTGGCAGGCCCCGAGGACGCCCGAGGGGAAGCCACTCCTTCCGCCTCCGGCCCGGGTGCCCCTAGGCCAGCTCAGCAAAGCTTCTTGGTAGCAGCAGCTACACTCTATTTCTGGGGACGCCGGGAGTGATGATCTCGTTTAGGGGGTTGTCTCTTGTTAAGGGTGAGCTTGGGGATTCAGCTGAGGCCTGGTGGCAGTTCCCAAGTAAGGACAAATATGGCCATGAAGCAATTTCCTTGAGCGAGAAGAAAAGAGGCCAATTTGGCTCACAAAGGGGTCAGCCAGTGTCGTTTCTGGCAACTGGCAGAAGCAGGACGTAAGTCTGGCTGTGTTCAGTCAGCAGGTTCTTGGCTCCTGCCAGCTAAAGCCGACAGCCCCGGGAAGCAGCAGCAGAGACACCGAGAGCCGAGCACAGAGCCGCGGGCGCCCTCTGAGACCACAGCAGGTCTCACCCCCTCAAGAGGCAGAATGACACGCTCGCTCGGTGTCCCAGCTGCGTCAACAGCCCAGAAAGAACTCTTGTGAAGCTGCTCCGGGGGCCAGCGGCTCAGAATAAAATGGAAGGGTGACCTGGGGCGGTGACACATTTCTCTGGCAGAGCCAAGACCAGCCAACTTAGTGAGTGTCCCAGAACTGCGACCCGGCCCGCAAGGAGACGTCCCCCGCTCCCGACCCCGAGGGGGCGCTGGCCTCCCAGCCTTTCCTCCCAGCTGGGCTTGGATCTGGCCCAGCCCCACAGAACAGCTCCCCGCCCGGGCGGTACCTGCAGGTCTTTGTCGTGGCCCTGCCTCTCCAGGATCAGCACCCGGTCCTGCAGCTCCTCCACGGTGCCCTGGAGCAGGTCATTCTCCTCCAAGGTGGCGCTGAGCCGGTGCTCCAGCTCCCGTTTCCGATCCGACAGCATCTTGATCTGAAAGGGTGGAGAGCAGGCGGTGGGGAGGAGTTACACCCGGGCTGAAGAGGAGGGAGGGAGGGACGAGCCCCCAACACAAACACCTGCAACTCTCCGAGTGCTCTGCCCAGGGGCCCGGCGCCCCCATCTCTGAGGAAACAGCTGCAAACTCCTAGGCTGAAGAGAAAACCCCTCCCCTCTAGAAACCTGCGTGGGAAGGGGTGGGAGGAGAGCTTTGGGGAGGCTGGAATGTGGGGTGCCAGGCGGAGAAGGGAAGGTTCGTGTTCTGGAATCTCCACAGATAAGACAGAGAAGAGCCCCACCTCGCCTGCCCCCAACTTGACTTCAACCCCACGATTCAGGAGGGTGTGGAACTCAACCCGCCGTCCCCTTCTTCCTTCTTCTCAAGCCATGAGCAGGAGCGCGCCGAGCCAGCTCCCGGAGCCCCTGCATTTCCCTGCTCTGGGGCTCTGCCTCCCCCACCCCTGGCAGGCCTGGCTCTAGAGGTCCCAGTTCCACCGAGTTAATGGGCAGCTGGCAGGGCTCAGGAAACAACGCGGGGCCTGCCAGCCTGTGTCCTGCGAGAGAATGGGGCACGGACACCAGGGACAGACCGACTTCAAGGGGTTGCTCTTCCCGAGCAAGTAATCTGTGAGCAGAAGCAATTTCTCTCCTTTTACTAAACAGGCTGGTAGGTTTGTCCCCTGACTATCTAGCCGGTCTTCAGAGCGATATCGATCTTTTAGGAAGGCCTGTCTGGTCTCTTGATTTCACTTGGAAAACAGAGGAAAGCGATGCCAAGTTTTCTCTGGCCTCGAGGTTTGCAGGGTGAGAGGCTGTGCCAGCACTCCCCAGGGCCAGCGATGCTTCACCCCAGAACACCTGCTCGGGGCTGGGGAAGCCTTCCCAGGCTCCCCGACCGCCAGTGGCCTTGGGGGGCTTCTGGAGTTCCTGCAGGCCCCCCCCCCCCCCGGCTCCTCCTATTTATCAGTTCACTGCTGGACTGATTTCCTACCCAGTGTCTTGCTTATAAACAGTCTCCTGACATGGGCAGGAGGTTCTCCATGCCCTCCAGTCTAGTGTAGATAACAATTCACTACAGGGACCGGCCTTTCCCACCTTTCCCTCTGCTTTTCGGCCGTTCTCACTCTCTGCACTAGAATTCTGTTCACAGGGCAAAGATCTCCATGGCTACCCATCAATCAGATAGGATGCCGTCCCGGGGAAATGAAGTATGTGGCCTTTGTCCAGAGAGATCAGGTGTCTGGCCAAACAAAGGAAGACTGTCTCTCAAGTATGCACCTGGGTAAGGGACCGAAAGGAGCCAGGCCCCTTTTGTGAATGGGCCCACTATTCCCGACACGGCAGCAACGTAGCCCACGTGAAGGGGATTCTCACTCTGGCTGATTTTCATTTAAACCCCCTCCGGCCTTGACATTTTCCTTCCCGTGGATCGTCTTTGCTCCCCAAGTTCCACTCAGTGAAGCAATGAGGTACTACGGTTCTGATGCACAACCCCGGCCCCATGAGGTCACGTATTGAAGTGAACGATTTCATGGTCCGGGTTTTAACAGCAGCAGGGCTGCTGGAAGCAAGGGATGGGCGTGAGGTGGCATCTCCCCCCTCCCCCCCGAAACTTGTGACAAAATCTGGCAACAGAAGTTCCTGGGAAGGACCCTGTGTTGCACGGGCTAGAGGCAGTGGGTGGGGCGGGGGTGTGCGGGGAGAAGACGGGCGCAGCTGAAGGACGAGCCATGCACACGAAGGCACCAACGGACACAGGCATGCCGAACCCACCTCAGCAAACTACTTACTTCAAGCACCTGCTGCTCAGTCCCAGCAGGAGGTCCAAGGGAAGGGAGGGCGGGAGGGGGTGGGAAGCAGCAGAAAAGAGAAGAGATTGACAGACTTTAGGGAAAACATCTTCCGGTCATTTGGTCATTTACGAAGCAGAGGAGCAGCCAGCTTCTCTGGGCCTGACCACGCTGGCTGCTTCCCTAACCACAGTGGGTATAATTCATCTGGCCCTCGTGTGTCCTTCAAAGGGTAACTCAGCTGAAGGACGCTTGGCAGAGGGGTCCTCAGGAGCAGATTAGGGAGCAGCCTCCCCAGGAGACCCTCCCCTTCTTACTTCCCACACCTGGATTCTCAGTGTTGTCTCCTACATTGTTCTCCCTCGGCCCATGCAGGGCCATAGACCCTGACTGCCTCGCGTACACTTTTTTCTTTTATCCTCACCCAAGGACATTTTTGCATTTATCTTCAGATAGTGCGGGAGGGAAAGAGAGAGAAACATCGATGTGAGAGAGACACATTGACTGGATGCCACCCACACAACCGCAACAGGGGCCGGGGACAAACTGCAACCGAGATACGTGCCCTTAGCGGGAACCGAACCCAGGACTCTCAAGTCCGCGGGCCGACGCTCTAACCACTGAGCCAAACTGGCCAGGGCTCACGTACACCTTCAGTGACATTACAACCACCACACCAAGGACTTCCCACACGTTAACTTAGCAAATCCTCACAACCACCCACGAAGTGGATACTCTGCTGCTCCTTTTACAGGTGAGCACAGGCCATGTTCAGGCGAACTGAACGGGACCCACATGGAGTGGAGAAAGGGAAGGCTCCCTCTCCCATCTTCGATTTAGGATCGGCGAGGATGTTTTTGGAGGAGTCAACATATGCAGTAAAAAGCGGGCCATTCATGACTTCAAAACACTCAGCATAACTCTGAGCAACCTTATTTTTCCAGAACAGACCACCCAGAGGAACGTGGATCACGCGTTCCCCAGCCAGCTCCTCACAGATCGGTCTCTCTAGAGACTTCGGAGGGAGCAGGTGTTTGTGTCCCTATTCAGAGGGCCCCTGATCTGAGCCCCGATGCAGCGCCTGCCATGAGAAGAGCCCACCCCTGAGCTCCGGGCTCACCTCGGCCTGCAGGCTTTCCAGGCGGATGATGTGCTGACTGGTGGAGGAGTTCTTCTCCCGAAAGTCTTCTCTGAGGGCGTGCACTTGCATGGAGAGCTGTCTCTCAACTTCTGATGCCTGCAAGCACAGGAGACCTTCAGAGCGGAGTCTGAGGTTATGCAAAGGGAGTGTGTTCAGATTTCTGCCTTTCATTCCTCAAGCATGTCTTTGCGACTCTCTATTCTACTAGGAGTACGCCCCTGGGCCCAGTTGTTCTCTAGCACCCACGTGAGACCAACCCCTCCCCTCACCCCACCATGACAGGCTCTGTCTAGGTCCTAGCCCACTCGGCTGATCAGAGGAAGCAGGTCTAGAAAATAGTAATAAGCTCTGAAACGAAATGTTAGTTACCATCGTTACTCTGCACACTGCAGAAACTCAGCAAAGATCCAAATTCGGAGAATGTCTCAGTACTGTATATCACACGAAAGAGTAAGACAGATATACCTACGACCACGGAAATGCCTGTGCCGCGCACCCACCTCCTGGGGGCCCAGGGAAATCGTCATCTATGCTGCTCACTCCTACCCAGCGCGGGCATCATTTAAAACTCCTCGTCATGTCTGGTAAGACTTTTGCCTTTCATTCCTCAAGGACATTATTTTGCAACTTCTAATTCTCTGGGGAGTGCTGGCTGAGGAGCTCCTGTCCCACCCTGATGCTAAAACACAGCGAACACAGAGCATCCTTATTGTATCCGTACCTGCTCTCGAACACGCAGGAGAGCATTTTGAAAAAATGCTGCCTGGGTGACACACGGGCCTTCCTCCCAGCCCCCACGGAGGAGCACCCTGGACACTGCCCAGGAGAGAGGACAGCCACCGACAGGAGGGTAACTGCCTCAGTGCTTTTCTGAGGCCAAATGGGGTCAGTAAGCTTTTTAGGTTCTCGGGAGAGATCACCGTATGCTGAAGTGGTTAGGAAAGGCTTTCAAGAGAAGGTGGGATGGTAATAACGTTGAAATGGTAGGCTAGCTGTTCAATGAGGCTTTCATAGTAATGACTACATGTTCCATGGTTCTTTTATCTTCAAGTGCTATATAATAATTGCCCATCTTTTTTTGGGTCCCATAGATTAGACAAATGTTGCCCCCAGACTAGTTAGGCAACTAGAACTAACCTATAGATCTAATTTTAAAACAACAATTACAGCCCTAGCTAGTATGGCTCAGCTGGTTGGGCGTCGTCTCATGCACCAAAAGGTTGCTGGCTCAATTCCTGGTCAGGGCACATGCCCAGGTTTCAGGCTCAATCAATCCCCAGTAGGGGTGTGCAGGAGGCAGCCAATTGAGGTTTTGCTCTCACATTGATGTTTCTCTCCCTCTAAAAATCAATGTAAAAAAAAGTGCAAAACAATCAAACCATCTTTTTCCTTCAACGTTTTAAATTTAACTTCAGACACCACCAGCTACATTTTTTAAAATTAATTTTTGTTATAGATGTTTCTCCTTTTCCCCCCACTGATACCCCCTCCCCCGCCTCCCCGCCCTGTCCCGTTTTGTTGTCCATGTCCATTGTTCATGCATACATGCATATAAGTTCTGTGGTTTATCTCCCCCTAACCCCCTCTTCTGGGGATTGTCAGTCTGTATCCCACTTCCACGTCTCAGGGACTACCCTGTTCCTTAGACTGTTATGTTCATTATATTCCACAAATAAGTGAGATCATGTGATATTTGTCTTTCTCTGCTTGGCTTGTTTTGCTTAGGATAATACTCTCCAGATCCCTCCATGTCATCTCAGAGGATAAGAGTTCTTTCTTTCTTACAGCTGCATAGTACTCCATTGTGTATACGTACCACAGCTTTTTTGTCCATTCGTCTACTGATGGACATTTGGGCTGTTTCCAGATCTTAGCTATTGTAAATAGTGCTGCTATGAACATGGGGTTACATATATTCTTTCTGATTGGGGTTTCAGGCTTCTTAGGGTATATTCCTAGGAGTGGGGTCACTGGGTCAAATGGCAGTTCAATTTTTAATTTTTTGAGGTAACACCATAGTGTTTTCCACAGTGGCTGCACCAGTCTGCATTCCCACCAGCAGTGTACTAGAGTCCCCTTTTCTCCACACCCTCGCCAACACTTGTTTGATGATTTGTTGATGGCGGACATTCTGACAAGTGTGAAGTGATACCTCACTGCTGTTTTAATTTGCATCTCTCTGATGATTAGTGATGTTGAGCATTTCTATATATCTCTTAGCCATTCGTATGTCCTGTTGGAGAGGTGTCTGTTTAGTTCCTCTGCCAATTTTTTAATTGGGTTTTTTGTCTTCCTTTTGTTGAGCTGTATGAGCACTCTATATATTGGAAATTAACCCCTTATCTGATGTATCATTGGCAATTATGCTCTCCCATAGAGTGGGTTGCCTTTCCATTTTGGTGGTTGTTTCTTTTGCTGTGCAGAAGCTTTTGAGTTTGATGTAGTCCCATGTGTTCATTTTCTCCTTTGTTTCTGTTGCCTTAAGTTATGTATCAGTGAAAATTCTGCTGCGTATGATGTCTGAAATTTTGTTGCCTACATTTTCTTCTAGGATTTTTATGGATTCATGGGTCACATTTAAGTATTTTATCCATTTTGAGTTTATTCTTGTGTATGGTGTAAGTTGATGGTCTAGTTTCATTTTTTTGCATGTAGCTGTCCAATTTTCCCAACACCATTTATTAAAGAGGCTGTCTTTACTCCACTGTATGCTCTTGCCCCCTTTGTCAAATATTAATTAAGCATATTGTCTTGGGTCCATTTCTGGGTTCTCTGTTCTGTTCCATTGATCTATCTGCCTGTTCTTGTGCCATTACCAGGCTGTTTTGATTACAGTGGCTTTGTAGTATATGAAATCTGGTCATGTGATCCCTCCAACTTTGTTCTTCTTTTTCAAGATTGCTGTGGCTATTCGAGGTCTTTTTTGGTTCCATATGAACTTTTTTGTTTGTTTGTTTTTGGTACGTGCCCCTAGCGGGAACCAAACCCGCAACTCTCTGGTCTGCAGGCCGATGCTCAACCTCTGGGCCGAACTGGCCAGGGCCCCAAATGAACTTTTGAAGTATTTGTTCTAGTTCTGTGAAGTCTGTCCTTGGTAATTTTATTTTTTTTTAATCCTCACCTGAGGACATTTTTTCATTTTTTGTTCAGATAGAGCGGGAAGGAGAGAGAGGGAGAGAGAGAGAGAAACATCGACGTGAAAGGCACACAATGAGTGGCCGCCATCCGCACGACACAACCAGGGCCGGGGACAAACTGCAATCGAGGTACACACCCCCAGTGGGAAAGGAACGCGGGTCTCTCTGGACTGGAGGCCGACGCTCTAACTGCTGAGCCAAACCAGCCAGGGAATTCTTCCAACCCATGAACAAGGTATGTGCTTCCACTTTTTTATATCTTCCTTTATCTCTTTTTTCAATGTCCTGTAGTTTTTTGCAAATAGGTCCTTTACTTCTTTGGTTAAGTTTATTCCTAGGTATCTTAATTTTTTTGCCGCGATGGTAAATGGGATTGTTTTTTCGGTTTCTCTTTCTGTGAGTTCATCATTGGTGTATAAGAATACCGTCGATTTCCTGACGTTAATTTTGCATCCTGCTACTTTGCCAAATTCATTTATTAAGTCTAGTAGATTTTTGATGGAGTTTTTAGGGTTTTCTATGTATAATATCATGTCATCTGCAAATGACAACAGTTTCACTTCCTCCTTTCCAATTTGGATCCCTTTTATTTTTTCTTCATGTCTGATTGCTGTGGCTAAGACTTCCAGTACAATGTTAAATAAGAGTGGCGAAAGTGGGCATCCCTGTCTTGTTCCTGTTCTCAGTTTCTGCCCATTGGGTATGATGTTGGCTGTAGGTCTTTCATATGGTCTTTATTATGTTGAGATATGATCCCTCTATTTCCAAATTGCTGAGCGTTTTTTATCAGAAATGGATGCTGGATTTTGTTCAATGTTTTTTCAGTGTCCATTGATATGATCATGTGATTTTTATCTTTCATTTTGTTTATGTGGTGTATCACATATATTGATTTGCGAATACTGTACCAGCCTTGCATCCCTGGGATGAATCCCACTTGGTCATGGTGAATAATTTTTTTGATGTATTGCTGGATTCGATTTCCTATTATTTTGTTCAGGATTTTGGCATCTATGTTCATCAGGGATACTGGCCTGTAGTTTTCTTTCTTTGTAGTGTCTTTTCTGGTTTTGGAATTAGAATTATGCTGGCCCCATAAAACGAGTTTGGAAGTCTTCCTTCTTCTGGAATGTTTTGAAATAGTTTGAGGAGAATGGGTGTTAGTTCTTTTTTGAATGTTCGGTAAAACTCCCCTGTGAAGCCATCTGGGCCTGGGCTTTTGTTTGCTGGGAGAGTCTTGATTACCTCTTCAATTTCCTTAGTTGTTATTGGTCTGCTCAAGTTTTCTATCTCTTCCCAGTCCAGTTTTGGGAGACTGTGTGTGTCTAGAAATGTGTCCATTTCGCTTAGATTGTCGAATTTGTTGCCATGTAATTGTTCATAGTAGCTGTTAATGATCTTTCGTATTTCTGTGGTATCAGTTGTTACTTCTCCTCGTTCATTTCTGATTTTGTGTATTTGGGTTCTCTCTCTTTGTTTCTTGGTGAGTCTAGCTAAGGGTCCGTCAATCTTGTTTATCTTTTTGAAAAACCAGCTCTTTGTTTCATTGATCCTTTGAAATGTTTTTTTTTTGTTTGTTTTGTTTTGTTTTTGTCTCTATGTCATTTATTTCTGCTCTGATCTTTACTAGTTCCTTCTACTTGCTCTGGGGTTTTCTTTTTGTTTGCTTTCTAATTCTTTAAGTTGAGAGGTTATATAGTCAATTAGAAATTTTTCTTGTTTCTTGAGGTAGGCCTGTAGTGCTATGAACTTCCCTCTCAGAACTGCTTTTGCTGCATCCCATAGATTTTGTGTTGTGTGTTCATTTTCATTGGTTTCCAGGAAGTTTTTAATTTCTTCCTTGATCTCTTCGGTAATCCATTCATTGTTTAAGAACATGCTATTTAGCCTCCATGTGTTCAAATGTCTTTGCATGTTTTTGTTGCAATTGATTTCTAGTTTCATGCCATTGTGATCTGA